TTGGGCTTTTTGCACCTCTTTGACCAGAAATTCCAGACCGCGGGCTGAAGTTAGGCTGACGGTCTGAATGGTTTTTGAGTAAATCAGCCCGCGGGCTGGGATTCTACACCTGTAGTCTAGTGCCTTTAGACCGAAGGTCCTGTAATTAAAAACTTGCGGGCTAGCTGTTAGGCCTGACGGGCTGTTAGGAAAGACCACCGGTCTGCTTGTATTTATTATTAATGATATCTTAAGTTATGAACACTGCAGAACAATAATTTTCATATCACTGTGCTCATTACACCAAGAGCTACACACTGATGTGAAACTTGAATGTTGAAAATCAATTTTTACTTGAGTTTCCAAATGCCTTGTGACTTTCCAAAATTGATGCGACCAGTGTTATATATATTTTTTTATTTTATGACGATTTACCACATCTGTGGAAGGATTGACATAACAGGTGACTATCACCTTTTCAAAGATGTCAAACCTGAGACCTGACTGTAAGGTTTGACTTTGAACCACTCACATTGGGAAGGTCCCCTACTCTTTTCGATAAGTGCGGTGGGTTCTTTAACGTGTGTGGGGTGTGGCTCTCCCCAAACACGGGACCTCCATTTAACGTCCTATCCAAGGGACGTCCCTAGCCGAAGCTGAGTCATGTAAAGTGCCTTTCCCAAGGGCACAAGATCGGTGGCATCGGGCAGGATTCGAACCCTTGCCCTCTTGAGTCTGGGCCGAAGACGCTACCGCTACGCCACACGACAGACTGACTGTAAATCTGTATTACATCTACAAATCCCCTAGCGACTTTCTTTTAACCTGCAACCACAGGTGAAGATAAACATCCAACATGGATACTGAGAGCAGTTTTAGCATTTTAGCATTAAGTCATTCTTGCCAGAACAATATCATCAGCCACATCTAGCAACCTGGAGAAGTTGACTGTACAGCCAGTATCAGCTACCATAACACAGCCATTCTGCATGATAACACACCAGCTCATCAGTGACACAGATACAGATGACTCATCATTAAATTCTATTAAGAAACTTTTCTCAATCTGCTTCAATCAAGGCTTGTACAATGTATGTGCTGAGTACTATAAATGAGAATCATAAAGTTGAAACTGAGTTATTTTATTAAAATTGAAGCCATGTGATGATTTTCCTGCATACCATCATGAATCTAGCTTTATCGCTACACTCACTTGGTGGTTTATTCAGTGGTTATCACACCTGACCAGGGATTATCTCACCATATACAACTCGGGGCGGGGCATTAACCCTTTACTATTACTACGTACCACTATCCTAAAACCCTACACGTCTGAAATATGCATTATTAAAAAATAATGACCTCTTGCAAATCAGCATTGCAAGGTTAGATTCAGAGAGGTTAATGTATTTTTTCCACTTTACTTACCGTTGGTATTCTGTTGTTTTTCTCGCTCCTCCTGTTCCAGCATCCTTTTCTTCCACTCATCAAACGAGGGCATGTCGTCTTCCTTGTGTGCCACCAAGTCCTCCTCCTCAGTCACCGCTGTCTCTCTCTCCTCCTGAGTGTCCAGAGGCTCTTCTCCAGCCTGCTGCTGCTCCTCTTCAGCTTTAGGAAGGACGTCATCCTCTACTGTCTCTGGTTTTTATCTGTTCAGGTTCCACATCCTCACTAATGTCTGTTCCTTCAGCCGGCAGCACAGCTTCAGCAGGTACCTCATCAGTAGCTGTGTCATCATCCTACAAATGCACAATTTTTTTCTCTTCCAGGTCTAGAAACACCAGTCCTGCTGGTTGCATATGCACGAGTAGAGGGATAAAACTCTTTGAGTACTCTAGCAGACAATTGAGAAAACAGCAGTTCTCTTTGGATTAGGCATTGTTCTCCTAAATTCTATCTCAGATCTCTTGCAAGCTCTTACAAGTCTCTTTTTTGAAACTGTTTTCTTACATAATTTTCCATTGTTTGAAAAGTCTCTTTCAAAATCACCTGTGAAAACATGGCTGCCTTGTTGTTGTTTTTATGTCATTGTTAGGGTTAGACGCTAATCCCCATTTAATTATCTATTGTTCAAAACAATTGATGGTATCTGAGAGGGTCCAACATTAGTGTCAAGAAGGAATCTACAGCAGTTCTCTTTGGAGTCTCTTCTAATGGGGACAGATCTCGTCCAGCTCTCTTTTAGTCTTGTCCTTTGTGATGAGATCTCAATTGTCCGCTAGAGTGATTTATCCCTCTACTAGTGATATGCAGGTTAGTGCAGCAGTGTACAGAATCTTTGAACCAGGTTGCCCAGTGGCCAACCTACAGCAAAAATTAGGTTGCCCATCAGAATTTTAGGTTGCTCACCTACATGTATAAGTTACTACTTTCATGAAATTAAGTAATGTTATATCCATAAGCCTTTGACAATATTTCTAACAGCCTTTAGTTAACTGATACTAGTAATAGCCTCCCCAAAAAGACCCTGTAAAGACCTGGGAAAGAGACTTACAAATGTTTAAAAAATGTGTGGAACTTTCGAGAATGTTAAATGTCCGTTAGACGTTTTATAGACATTTTTGGCTCTACTATGCCTTCCACGTACTTTTGTCTGTGAATCCTTGAGTGTTGCGATGTCAGCTGCAGGTGTGTCTGACTGTTGTGGCTCAGGTGGAGAGGTGATGACAGGTACAGGTACGTCTGTCTGCTCAGCCTGCTCCTCTATGTGCAGATCCTCTGCTACACTATCACTAGCCGGGCTACAAGACATACATCAACATTAATAGTGAAAGTTTATTGCAAATACATGCCCAAGGGCTAATTGCAAGAACATGATAACAAAAATAAACAGTAAAAATGATAATAAGTAATGCTACTGCTACTTTACATATACTTTTGTAGTTATTGTTGGGTTTAATTTCTTTTCCGTGTGCAGTGGAGTATGAAATGGCCGACATTTTGCGAGATATATGAATTGGGAGGTGTTAATAGAAAATTAATGCAGTTTTTTGTAGGCTGGGAAGGTGAATAAAGCTCGGGAACATTTTCGTGACCATTTCAAATAACTTATCTTTTTCGGAGCTATAATGAGGGCAGTGACAAATAAAGTGCATTAATAACATGTTTTGTTTTTTGTTCGTATTAGTCATCCTTGTCAGAGGTGAAGCATGATATCATGCTTTTTCTAAGCTATGCTTGTGCAATGTGGCTTCGCTACAGTTTGCGCATACATATGGGGTGATGATGTTAATAACTGTGTGGCTAATACGAGACAGGAGTTCGCCAGGCCTCTATCTGGGTGATTTCTAGTGAATCACCAACTTCCAAACTGTAGTATTTGGACCATCGCACACTGGGGCATGCCCCTACTCTATTTTGAAAGGTTTGCTGGGTTCTTTAACATGTGTGGGGTGTGGCTCTCCCCAAACACAGGACCACCATTTAACATAATATCCGAGGGACGTCCCTGACTGAAGCTAGGTACTCATTTCCACCTGAGTGAATTGAGGAAAGTCATGTTTCCCAAGGTCTAAAGTTACAGTGGCATGGTAGGATTCGAATCCTGGACCTCTTGGTTCTGAGCCAAACATGCTAATATCACAAACATGCATTAGTATACAAGAAAGAAAAATGTAGCCTTTAGGCCATGCCGACTTAAATTTATGGATAACATCCTCTGACGACCACCAACTAGTGCGTGCGGGCGAATAAAAAGAAATTCCGGCCAAAAATAAAAATGTTTCTAAACCACAGAATATAAAAGCTGGTGGCAGTACTTAGCAACATATACGACAAGCCACCACATGCTGGCTTTTTGCGGAATTTATGAATCAGCACTGTATAGCAATAGTATGATCTTGAGTTGTCGAGATTCGGTAGCCTGGGTGCCCGGCTCTGTATTGTCGCTAACTACCATGGAGCCAGGGCAGAGCCTCGGTGGACGTGACTTTTTTTTTGTTTTTTTTTTTAGAACAGGCGAAAATCAATGTGCGCACGGATGTCATCCACAAATTTAAATCGGTGTGGCCTAACCAGTGATAACAAAACAAGGCCCACCTTGGCGATGCTGATGTTTCAGTTTCTTCACTCTTTTCAGAAGCCACTGGCTGCTCTGGGCTTGTTTCTCCTTCATCCTCTGCGAGAACCCTAGAAAAGGTTAAAAATGCATCATTAAGGTCTTAATCTGTATTCACTTTCTTTGTAATGTCCAGCTTTTACTAACTAATCTTTGTCTCTTTGCAGCTGTCATGCTGTATATATTAAGTTAATAATGCAGGGCCTGACAATAACCAACTTACTATCAATTGAATATGGTTTCCTCTACTAAAAAAGGATGCACACAAAAGAGTGTGCATGGTTGATTTGGGTTTCATCACAAGCTCCCACATACCAGCTGAGATAGTCAACTGTTACAGATCTAACCCATGCCCGTAGCCAGGTGGGGTTCGGAAGAACCACCCCACAAGGCTTGAGAAAAGGTCCACTTTTTGGTCCATTTTTTATCTAAAGATCCAGGATTTCTCTTTAGATGGACTGATTCGTATCATGAGCAGGCCTGGAATCGTATAAAAACTGCCTACTTTGTCATTGAATAAAAAGTTATCTCTCACTTTTTCTCTGAAATCTTGTCAAAAATGCAGGAAATGCCATTTCAGGAGGTTCATTTTTCAAAATTTTCCAGGGAGCATACCCCTGGACCCCCCTAGGAACCTCGTGCCTAAGGCGCTCGCTGGTCCCTCAAGCAATGGGAAGAACCCCCCCCCCCATTCAAAGTCCTGGCTACAGGCATGTAACCTGAATAAAGTGCACACCCCTTTTTCCGGCTTTTGCCCAGCACTGCACCCAGGCATCCCCCTCGGATCTGATTGTACCATACCCTTCCATAAAATCTTAATGTTTTTCTTTTGTCACATCAATCACCAACCAGGAATTTTTAGCAAAACGTTACGGTGATTTGGGGTCATCAACACTTTGTTATCTTGCAGTTAAAAAATTCACACCAGATTGGTGGCTCAAGCTGTGAACCTCCTTTGAGGATTTACATCTTATCGAAGGACCAGGCATTGAATCATTTGATTTCTACCAGGTTATTCAAGGATGAACTTGTAGAATGCATTTTCAAAATAACAAAAGTTGTTATCTTTTGAAATACAGCACTACACTGGCATATAAATTGCCACTGCCAGCTATAAGTATAACAACAACCAACTAGAAAAGTAACATTTGCAAAGCAAAATGCATAATGTTTACCTTCGCATAGGCTCTGTTAATAACACAAAGTTTAACACATTCACATATATGGTGACAGGGGTCTAAATCCCTCCTACTGTGAAATTGCAACATGATGTAACCCAACACCAGTTATCATGGTGACAGACAGTGTGGTTCAGTCAGGTCAGAGGTCACTGTTTTGAGAAGAAGAAACGTAGCAAAAACAATGTTTTCCTTCGGTAAACATAATCAGAGACGACTTCCTGGTATTAGTCTGCGTGGATGGTTATGTGGCCTTTTCGCCTGACCGCCGGGATGGTACATTCTATATGCGTTGTGGGTGTGTTCGGGCCATCGAAGATAGTGGAAAACGTATCGCATTGATTTTAATTAAATTCAAATTTTGGAAACATTACTTTCTGAGCTTCTTCTAGTACTAACTACTAAGCTGTTACCCTGGAAAAATTTTGTTCTTTCTATTCAGCCATGGTTAAAAATTATGAAAAACTAGAGGTCGGAGATCTCATGTCTTCGTCAGAGGTACATCGTTCTAGAGAAATTAACATGCGTATTCTTCAATCTTTTTAATAATCAATTTGGTCTAAAGAACAAAAGAATCTCTGTACTATTTTTATGGTACAGAACACCCTGAAACGGTTTGCCGCAGATTATACAGATGCGTCGTCACCCGTGTTATCCCCCCCCCCTACGTTATTTGAGTTTGGACTGTTACTGGAAAAAAACGTTCAAGAAATTCTTACTGTGTTGAAAGTGTCACGACAGCGCCGCAAAATATAATAAGAGAAGATGTTATAAAGGAAAGAATCAGAACAGGGTGACTACTGCTGTTTTGTTAATTTGTCTTTATGACAAATAGAAGACTTTGTGTTCTTTGTGTCCTAACATTTGTACTTCTACAGTTAGTATATTCCAAATCTAGGCATCTCGTTTTTCGGCCCTTCGTGTTTTTATTGCGCGCTTGCCTTAAATTTAAGGTAATTAGATTTAAGGTCTCCAGTGGACGTCATCCATAGCAATTACTTGGTGTGGCCGTAGAAAATAACCTGACATATGTCCAACCTATCCTCCCCCTGCTGAAGTTATAGTACAATCCCTCAATGTAAGGTCATTTGATCCCAACCCATTATGGGGTTCCCCTCTATATCCAGCTGTCGGCTGTCTCCAAGCAGATGTAGGTGGGGGATTTCTAAACACAAAAGGTCCTATTACGGGGACATAACGACCTCCACGACTCTCATCTTTGAAGTCAATCTTGGAGACCACGACAGTAATATGCCTATCAAATTTCATTACCTTCCATCCACACATACAAAAGTTATCCTGCTCACAAGAAAAATTAACAAAATGCCCCCTGTAGTCACAACGAAACCTCCCACGAAGCTCAGTAACGAACTTAACCTTGGTCCCGACAATAGTAAGCACCACACCAAGAATTATAATCAACATTTTACAAATACTTGAGTTATCTTGCTAACAAGCCACAAACACAAAAGGTGCACTAACGTGACGCACGGACCCCCCACGAAGCCAAAACTTGTACTTGACTTTGGCCTCAACAGCGGTAATATGCCTGCCAAAAATCATGGACGTCGAATCATGCCTTCCAGAGTTATATCGCAAAATCCGCAGTTCCCCACACTCCGGCGAGACAATTTCATAGTCCTTCTGACGAAGACAAAAATGACCCCTTACTTTGATTAAAATGTACTTTGATGTGCTTTATTTACCCCGAAATAAATTGGGTGCACAAAATATCAATCAAGTGTATTGATAAGCGGTACGGCACCCCTTTCCACCAAAACAGTGAAAAATTCCGACCCGCGTTTAGTACAGAAGTGTCAAATTGCTCCGAACACAGAAGGAAACTCCGGCCCGAGACCTAAATAATGATTTGCATTTTTGGCGGTATGGAACTCTTATAACTTAACATGATGTATATATCCACGTCAAGACTGTCTCTGATTGGTTGTTGCTGCAGCTGGCAATGGCCGCTGGAGGTGCAAAACATACAGTATTTCATACTGTATGTCTTTGTTTGAAATTGTTACACTGACCTAGTTATAACTTCAGGTATTCCTGATGTCATTTTGAGCTTGGCATATATGTTATAACAGTGCTGGTGCTGAACACATTACAACACTAGTCAGGTCACATGGCCTGTAACATAGCACGTCAGCAGAACGTACTGCACCTGCGCAGAACCCTGGATTTTCGTGTTTTACGTTGGAGTTTTGGTCAACGTTGCATCAGAATTTTACCTGTTGCAGAAGATATCTTTTCCGACACACCATTTGGAAACTACTGTTGAAATGCTAACCTTATATGAGCGAATACAACCTTATATGAGACATTCTGCCGAAGTGCTATGTACAATACATTACAGGTTTCGCGCAGGTGCAGTACACTCTGCCGACGTCATGTAACATGTACCTGAGAGAGTCCTCTTTCTCCTGATGGTTCTGGGTTGTTTTTTTCGTGCCTTTGTTGGATGATGTGGACTTTGTTGTGGGATAGCTGATTCCAGGATCCCCACCAGTGGTCATGTCCACCAAATAAACAGGACAGTCCTGGGGAAAAGAAATTCATGCAGAACTTGGAAAACCACATTTGCAAGCAAATGTAGCAATAAAATAGTCAGTATTTCCAAGGAGGTTAAATACTTGTATTTAACCTCCTTGGTATTTCACTCCACCTCCTGCCCATCCTAAAGTGGCCTGTTCCAAATCAACCATCTGGACTACTCCATATAAACTTGCATCTTAGGCCACACCAATTTAATCTGTTGTTTCTTGGATTTTTTAATAAAAAAACTAAGCGACAGGGCGAAAAAAAAAGAAAAACAGGCCAAGGCACCCCATGATATATATATAGCCGGAAATGTTACGATATGAGCCATGAAGTCAACATACCAGGCTGGTTTATAATTAAAACAATATATTGTTATAACAATAATATATTGTTATACTTATAGTATAATAAACCAGCCTGGTATGTTGTTAAAGTTTTTCAAAGTAACAACTAGGAAGAAAAGGACTTTCTTCAACCGTTTCTTCAACCAATTCAGAATCAACTGCAAAATGCTCATCATATTTTGCCCTGAACAGTTAAAAACAGTCCTTTTCATCCTAGCTGTTACAGTTATTCCATCTTTCAATGCAGTGGTATCATTAAAAGTTCAAAATTCATTGTTTAAATTTTGAACCAGCCTGGTGTGTTGACTTCATGGCTCCGATCCTATTGTCCATTATGGCCCATAATAGGATGCCTAGGCCTGTTTTTGTTTTTATTTTTTTCGCCCGCCCGCTCCATTATTTTTCTAGAAAAATCTGTTAACCAAGAAATTAAATTGGTGTGGCCTAATCTATAAATATACACAGTTCTTGCATTCTCTGCTATCAAAATACAATATTTCTAAATGAATACCTGTGATTTGTCTTTGGTCTGCTGCTGGTGGACAGATTCCTCAGCACTAACTTCAGCAGGAGATGACTGCACATTTGTGTAAAGGCTGCAAATAGATAAAAGTTTGGCAAAAAAACATTTTCGTACTTTTCGTTTGATATTGGCATTCTATGACATTGGTATCATTTTCCAATATTGTTTTTGACACTTTACATTTGCTCATGATTGTACAGTATGTCAAAAATTCATGCAAGCACAGATGTCATCGGATGATCCATATCCATATACTGATATAGTATACATTGTAATAAAATCAACATGGCCATAGTCAGTCAACCAGTTACTCAGTCTGGGAGTGCATAGCATTTGCCGCCACAGAGGACACAGTAAGATATATAGCTGACTAAGATGGTACATGTACTTGTATATGGGGGCGTAGAGCGTAATCGGCCGTTTTAATTCTACGTAGAGCGTAGATGGACCACTCTAATTCAACATAGAGCGTAATTGGCGCATTTTGCGTAGAGCGTATTCGCCATTTTAATTGTACATAATCGTTGTAGCCACTTGCATAATCAAGAGTTATCCTGAATTCAGCATAATACTAGTACGTAGCCAGCTCTCAAAATTTAGCGTAGAGCTTTGTCGGGACCCAATGCAGGCCCCCATCAATCCACAGAATAGAGGCAATTAAATGGCAGGCTGCTATTAAACCTCAGTATCAATGTGCACGCACATCTAACCCTCAGAAGATGGGAAACAATAGATGCTAAACCGGATAGCGAGTGAGTGAACACAGTGCAATCTTGAGAGAGATTGTGTGGGACTTAGCACGGTGGTCCCGTTGCTATGTTAAAATCCTCGTTGCTAAGCAAATAGGCCCCGCCCACAACCCGGTGCGCTGTGAGCAGCGGCAGTGTTCAGATAAACAACACAACTTTCGCCCAATATAACGCACGATGCGATTATGAAGTTAGAAAAAGAATCACGCACACACACAAAAAATTAGTTCGCTCCCGAAATATGTATAAAATAAGAAATGACAACGTAGAATGCAATTCAAATTTCCCGCCGACTGTACGTGCGTACATGAGGTCATTTTGGGTCATTGAACTTTAACCTACCGCTACATTTCGCTAATTTACGCATCAAACATATGTTTTATCCATACTGTAAACTTTAGGACCTTTAAATTCCATTTCTCTTGTAGAATTTTTGTTGTCTGTGAGTTTTTAACTTATTTTGTCGATTTTCTAGTAGAGTCCATTCCGCGTCACCGAGTGGGTTTTTTCTCCATGTTTCTAATACGTTTGAATTATTTAGAAGAAAAGAATACCCCAGTAACAAAAGTTCTAAATTTTTCAAAAATTTAAAAATGAAAATTTGAATATATTTGAATTCATTTATATATTTCTGAAACATTTTGAATGTGACTGTACAAAGATCTCTTTCTTTAGAATAAATTTGAACTACCCATGTGTTTCTTTCACAATTCGAAATATTTAGAACTATTTCAAACAAATAACCAAATGGTAGATGTGGGTAATTGCCCCCATAAAAGTAGGTGCTAATCCTACTCTTCTGTCTTCCTCTGTATATTTTTAGATTTCACTGCTGGACACTGGTGGCTCTTTTGTTGTAAGGCATCAATGCCTGACGCCCAGGCAGTCTACCATGTACTTCACAGGGATGTGTGAATTACTTCCTTCCCATCCCACTGACCTATTTACAAAATGTTAGAAATAATTCGAAATAATGGTAAAAAATGGTAGAGTGCTGTTAGAAATATTTAGAAACTATTGGAAATGTCATAATCCACATCAGGAATATTTCAAACATTTTAGAAAACCAGGGAATTATTTAGAATATTGACAAGATGTTCAAAATATTTCCAAATTATGAAATTTCTTAGACAAACAATTACAAAGAATTCAAAACATTTCTAAATAATGACAATAACAACCCACTCGGTGACGCGGAATTGACTCTATGTTTTCTCCCATAATTCCATAACGGCGCAAGAGAATCACGTCATTTTTTTCAAGATGGCGGCCAGATGTTTACTTTTTCGATTGGTGTATTTTTTATAGAATTCTACCGATAGGATCGGGAGATATTGCTCAAAATACATTTTCTGCGTTTTAGTTCAAAATTCACGTGGAACAGAGGGTTTGTTTTAGAGTTATAATGAGGACGTCGGTGGAGATCAGAGTGGTTCGTTCTCACCTTCCTCCCGGGAAGGCCAGTGAAATGGAAATTTCGACCAGCGTGGCCCTATTGTTCTCCTCCCGGGCGCGAGTTTTAAAGACAACAGTGCGTTGGCTCGATGCAAATCAATCGCGATACTGTCCCTTTGAGAAGATTTTCTTTGACAGTTCAAGGAATTTTTCCAGTCGTATATATCGTATTTATCAGGGAAAGTTCATATTCCCCCAAGTGGACGCCAATCATTGTACCGTGAAAAAGAGAAGTCAAAACTACGTCGCGGTAGCGAACGAGAATAAAATTTACTTCCCCACCGTATGTTTTTTTAAGCTTCTTGGCTTATTTGGGCGACATCATATGGTAAATCTAAAACTATCCCCATCCGTTCCGTCGTGCAACCGTGTCGAAGTCGTCGGTTGGAACCTGAAGCTCCATGGTTTGAAGAAATAATTTTGACAAAAATCACAAAAGCTTTGTGTCGGCACGCGCGAGTAACTGAAACCATGGAGGTTTTTTTTCTACCTCCATGCTGAAACATAGCATCGACAGTGATCGACAAAAATGGTTGCTAGAGATAGAACGCTGAACATTGCCTTGAATGTGTTATTTGGGATTTGAAATGCAGGTAGGTGGATAACCTCCTTACCTCCTTAGCACGAATTAAAAAAAAGGGGCTGTAGGTTTATAAACTGTACGTGTGTGACACAAAATGGCGTCGGTTTGTAAACAAAGGAAAAAGGAGGGAACCGGTCTAATCCAGATATGTTGTGAAAAAACTCTGGCTTCAGCCGACTTTCTTCTACAAAGATTTACTATTATACTTCTACTATTTCTAAAATCTTCTTAGTACGATTATGTTTTTAGTACGGTCTATGATTTGACTCCAGAACGTTACGATGCATTCCCCGTATTAGACGAAGTACTCGGCACGCCGGCCAAACTATCATGGCTTCTGTGCTGTTTCCGCGCCGTAAACCTCGTTTTGTAACAGGTACAACAAGAATACATGTATAAGAATGTATCTGAATCGTATGTAGTGTGTTTTTGTGTTTTTGGTAGATGTTCTTGAATAATCACTCGAGTCTGGAATTTTTTAGACATATTCTAGATGTTCTGTCATGCAGCCGATGCCGGCGCGTTCCGTGCCATCTGAAGTATGCAATAGCGCGATCAAGGCCGATTAGACCCGGGGAACTTTAATATCTGTGGAATTTTTTTTAGTGTGTTAAATTACGAAATAAGACAAATTGTAGCACAGTTGCGAATTATTGTTGGTGGCATAAGGAAATTAAACATGGCTTGAATGAGTGTTGAGGCATTGTTAATTGTGTGAATTAAAGAACAATAGGGGCGGGGAAAGGCGCGCATATGAAAGGACAAGATCGCGGGAAAAAAACAGCGACTCGAAGTGTCACCAAAACATGCCAAGGCCCCGCCCGCTAAAGCGTGAACCAATCAGCTATTGTTGCCAATAGTGAAATGACTGATTGACACCGATTTCTCATTAATATTAATGATTTCCAAGTGAGGATTTTTGATGGCCTTTTTGACCATCGTGTAGTAATAACACGTTATTAGCAGAATGCCTCCTTCTTTCTGTATGTTTCCATTTTAGTCGACTCCGAATTCTATTGCAATTCCACTACAACCCAGCGCTGCTTCAGTTACTGCTGTTTACATCCGCCATGCTTAGCAAACAGTCAGTACCAAAACCCCAAAGAAACAGCAAGGAGAACTTGACACGTAATGATACTCAGATCAGATACAAACGGACGAGCGTGGCGTGGGTTTGGCTAGAGTGGGAAAGGAGACATTTGCATATAACCCCCAACCTACTGTGATGCAGAAAAGGGCTGCGCGTGACGCAGGTCTGTTTACAGAATGTTGGGCCGTGCTGCGGACTCCCCGCTGAGTGGCACCTCCTGGATGTTTTGTACAGCTCGCGCCACGCTTTGAACCACAGATTTATTTATATTACAGGGCCTTACAGGAAGATGGGAGTTGCATGTCCATGCCATTTATCCCTAAGCACAGTTTTATCTAATCTCACTCTGAGTCTGAGGTGCTGAGCTCAGGCTAATGTCTGAAACAAAGTGAGGATGTCTACAAGAGAAGTAACACAGATTTCATCTTAATAAAAGCGAAAAAAGGAGCCAAACTCGTCTCCTTATTTCCAAAGGAGGTTTAATTTCATCCGTCCCGGGGTCTATGACCTGGGTGTCGAAAGTAGTGTGGACAAAACTCTTGCATCCTGGCTAGAGCGACTTATGTGAGTGTGGTATAGAAATGTATCAGCTTGTACACCGTATGATGTGGATCGTGATGATTTCCCTGTTTGTGTATAAATGCACCGCGTTAAGCAATTGCATTCCAGGGTGAGTCAGCTGCAGTTTCATTTACGAGGGTCTGCATGGGGGAGAGGGGTCCTGGCAACGGTTAACGGTAAATTCAGCAGGGCCGATAACGCTTAATGGTAAATTCAGGACGGTCGGCAACGCTTAACGGTAAATTGACAGGCTCAGTTACCGTTGCACTGGATTTGGTATCTCGCTTTGTGAGAAAAGCAAATTACGTACACCTTACATGTAATGAAGCACGCATTAAAGGTATGTGTTCCTTCTGTTTCCCACCTGCCCTGGCCCCCGAGTGCGTGCACAAATAAAGAGGAGTCCGAGTCGACGTCGGCCAGCTCTCCGCTGAGGGGGTCTGGGGGATGCTCCCCCGGAAAATTTAGGATTCTTGAGCCTTCAAAAATGCAATTTCCCGCATTTTGAGAGGGAAATCATGGTGTTGAGAGTGTTTGTCGGTCCTTCTGATGTTTTCATATTTTTACTCAAGATTTTTGTTAATTTTTGGTCTGTCAAGGTTGACAGATTCGTTAAAAAGATTCTGTAACTCTCCGCAAATTTCCGGCAATTGACGGAAAACTGGTGCTGGTTAGAGCCGAAGGGACCGAGCGCAGAAGCGCGAGTCGAGCGCCAAAGGCGCGAGCAATGTAGGGGGGTCCGGGGGCATTCTCCCCCGGGAAATTTTGTATTTTTAAACCTTCAATGACGCATTTTCCTGCACTTTGAAAGGCAAAATTAGGCGTAACGAAGAATTATTCATTAACGCTTAACGCTGAATTTAGGATGACAAATAACGTTTTACGTTGAATTAAAATGACCAATAACGATTCACGATGAATATACTGATAACGCTTAACGTTGAATTAGAGCGGGTCGGCAACGATTAACGGTAAATTAAAATAGCCCATAACGGTTAACGAAAAAGGGCATGCAGGCCCTCATTTACCTGAGCCGCAGATGGCCAAATAAAAGAGGTCTTAATGATGTTAAAAAAACCATACCTTTTTTTGGTTTCAGTTATTTTGTGGATTATACCATATATTTCAACATATTAGTTGGCCGTGTTTCTCTAGTGCACCCTACCATAAATTTTAATGTGTCGAAGGGAGTCACCTCGGGGTGCTTAACTACAGAAATCTTCATAGGGCGAAAACTGTGTTCTGCCACCACAAGACCAACGCCCCCCACCCCCTAATCCAAGTCGCCACGGCTACAGTTTTGACCTTACAAAATAGCTGATATAGTAAAGACAGAAAGCACGATGCAACTTATCACACCAGTAGAGGGAAGAAAAAACAATGGAAAAACTACAGCTTTTGATTGTTAAGCGATTGTAAGTCGGGGTAAGAGTACTAAGACTCGAAAATAATTCATAACGTTCACGTTACTGATGGGGAGGGCCGAGGGGGAGGGCACCTCTGGCTTCATAAGCTAAGCACTTACCTGTTCAGGAATATGGTTAGTAGAAGTACTGCCAGCAGTCCATTCCACATTTTGCCTTAACAAACAGCTCTGGAGGGGGTTGGTGTATTTGTCTTGAACAGGAAAACTTCTCACATCACTTTTTACATTTATGACGGATAAAAACAAAAACAATGTTGTACACATCAGTCTAAGCTTTAAGTGGCTAATGCTTTAGTTTTTTTAGTGCCGCGATTTTTGTTTCACGTTTTCCTCAGCTCAAGCAAGGAGGTTAACCTCCTTGAAATTCGTTGAAACGAACATCACAACGATGATGATCAGCGATGAGTCGTTTTCAGCGAACTGTCCGCTAGCTGAGCTGAGCCAGGCTGACAACGGGAGATCGGATCAGGCAATAACACAGCAGACACCCTACAGTTACTCTCGTACTCAGGATTCTTAGCACATTGCCCTGAGTACGAGGCGCGTTTTATGACGTCACGTCTGTTGGCACGTGGCGCTCCACCCAGGGAAACAGGTGGTTCTCCCTCGCCTTGATTTTCTCCATATAAAATTTAGAAAAAAAAAAAGCGTTAATACCACATTCATCAGCCTTCTCCGGTCCCTGAAGGTCCCTGAAACTAAAAATACGCGTTGCTGTGGAAGAGCAAAGGTTGGGGTGACACAAACAGTTATAACGTTAACGTTACCACCCTATTGTCATTCTCTGTCATACGAGGGAGGTTTTGATGGTCATACAAGCCCAGGCGTACAGTCGTAAAAGTTAGCCTCCTGTGCAGGCCTCCGGGCGGGTGGAAGTTTTCATACCGCGTTTTGTAGAATTTTTTGTGTGAACTTCCGTACAACCACTCCCCAGCCGCCAAGAGAAGGTTCATGTACCCGCCAAGCCTGCTATGGGCGGCTGGTGTAGGATGGCCGGCAAAAGACCGCGTTAAAATTCTACAAAACGCAGTATCAAACCTCCCACCACCTGCCCGGAGGCCTGCACCGGAGGCTACATAACAGTAGTAACGGTTAACGTTACATTGTAACGTTACACTGTATTTTTAACTGTCTCCAAGAATGAAGAAAATTATATAGCAATGTCCTTGGGATGCCATTTATGCTAGCCAGTATGTTTCTTTTTTGCTTCGCAGCACTCCTACAGGCCATTGACCGGCGATGAAAATTCCCCCTATAGTTGGTCTAACGTTTTTTGCAGCACGGAGCTGCACGACCGGTAGCCTGGATGCCAGACCCAAAGCACACTGGACACAAAATATCTCAGTGTGCACACTGAGATATTTTGTGTCCAGACTCCAGTGTGCTTTGGGTCTGGCATCCAGGCTACACGACCGGCCCAGCCGGGTCCGAACCTTGCGCAACCTCAACCGACAAGTAACGAGGGACCTATGGGGTCTTGTCCAGATGCACGACGGGGGCGATGACGTCACAACACTAGCGGTCCTGGACGCTGCTCTGTCAGGAATTTTGTACTATGTCTTTGTCAGTTTGTTCTCACAAATTTAGCATTACGGCTCCACTTAGGGTAGAAGTGAAACAGTAAGGCTGACATGATGATGTCCCTTCCGCAATGGAAGCAGGTTTTGGTGGAACAGCGGCAAAGAAAGGCTGCGGAAGAGAGGCGACGGCAAGCCGAACAAGAAGCCCGGCTGAACCGGATGCCTGCCTGGAAGAGGGATATCTTGGTCAGGAAAAGGCAGTCTCGAAGTGACCCAAAGACCTCTTCTACCGATTCCATTGACCACAACGTGATCCAGAATGAAGATACCGGTCCAGCAAGGGGTACAGGTGTGTTTGAGCAGAATGGTGAGTCGTCGCTAGGGGAGGGCGGGCCGCCTGACACCTGCCGCACTCCCGACGTTTGGAACGAACAGGGTGTGTCAGAGGAAAAAATCGTCTCAGTACATGAGAATATCTTCGTTAAGTGGCAAGCAAGGAACCGCTCACCTCCATATGACAGGAACGACACTCTAGCACACAGTGGACAACACAAGTCACACAGTCCAAGGGGGGTGGGAATCCCTAACAACGTAATTATCATAGAAAAATATGGCGGATCTGGCAATGATCTCCAAGCAGATGTTGGAAAGGAGAGTGTACAAGGGCTGGCACCCACTGGATTGGAGAGACCTGGAACTCAGACTCTGTTTTCCTTCCTTCGAGATGCCAAGCCCGAACGGGAAGTGATCATTATCGAGAAAGATGATACAGAAGACAAATCAGTGCCCTGCTCCTTGAGCGGAAAGGTCAACAGACTGAGGGGAAAGTTCGGTGATGAACCACGGGAAAGGAAAGAAGTGCTCAGTGCCACCAGAACAAAAGTACCAGAAACTGTGAAATCCAGCACACGTCAGGGGAGAGGGAGTCAACGTAAAGGCCAAAAGTCCACTCTGTCTGCAGCAGGAAGCATGGACAGTCTGCTGGATGTTGTGCAGCAGCCAAATCAGGCTCAAAAGAAGAAAAACGAATTTCACTATTCAAGCTGTGAAAACCTGAGTGAGCTGGATACACTTTTCATTCAGAAGTCTGGAAGTGATGATAGCGTCACTGTGGACACATCACCAAACATCAGACCAAGATCATTGTCACAGTCCAAAATGCATGAAACCACAGAACAAACAGGGAAAAAGACAGAGAGAGTCAAGGTAGAAAGTTCTCAGCCAACATCACAGCAAAGCACAAGAGAATCACCCAAGGATCAGACCACAAAATACAATGACACAAGCAGCAAGCCATCAATGAGGGTGAAACCTGTCAGTGTCACAAGGAATGCACCTGTTGGAGGGAACCATGTCCGCTTGTCTGGACAAAGTCACACTGCCAAAGTTAATAGGCATGAGTTAAAGAAGAAAACCTCATTAGGCAATGAACCAGGCTCAACTAGAAAGGAATCTGACATTCTTGTGCACAGCAAAAATGCTCCAGAAGAAGGGATACAAATCATCCCAACGACGGCAAACTCCAGTGCTAAGCTTACTGCAGCTCAGAATGACCCTGTGGCTGCTGCTATAGCCAGTATCAAAGCACAGTCCAAAAATACATTCATAGTGCAGCCAACCAGGCCTGCAGGGAAGCATGTCGAGATGAAGAACCAGCACAGAAAGGAAAAGGAGCCCTCCCACCTCAAAGACCGTGGAGCAAAAGAAGATGACAAGAGTCCAGGTTTACCTCTTCCTCTTCAGCCAAACAAGAAACAAGACTCAAGGAAAAATGACATTGTAGGGCAAAGCAATGATACATCGTTTGTCATCAGGCCGCTTACTCAACGTCTGAAAGAAAATCCCAGTGAGTATCAGTCAGCAACAGTGAGAAAGGCCACAGAGAAACAATTCAGCACCAAGGAACAGAAAAGCAACATCACACCATCTAGTACCAGCAGTAGTACTGGTCCTACAACCACTCCTGTTCTCCAGCAAAGGGATGCACCTGAGTCAAACCAACATGCAAACAGAACCTTTTTGCCGCAGGAAAGTACGGATGCTCAAACAGAAAACAAAAAAACACATCTCGGACGGAAAAAGGCGCCAGCACCACAACCACCGTCTGTAGCCAGCGTCAACGGGCAGGGAACAGCGAGACAGCAGGCTGGACAGCTGAAACCTGGGGCACAGGACAGGGAAGAGCTGCCCACTACCAACATTGATGACGTGGAGATATCAGCAAAGATTCAGGTATAACATTCTCACAATGACATGGTGGAAATCCTCATGTATGTGGTCATCATCATTACTACTAGTAGTTGTTCTTACAAGTTACATCCAAGATATCAGTTATGCTATGCCCTTATACATGTACATGTAAGTTATTATATATACACATGTAGTAGTGATATTGTGTATTGTGCCTCGGTGTCCAGAGCAGGAAATTCCCATTTGCAACTTGCAATTTATACAGAAACAAATTTGATACATGGTAAAAATAGACATGCTAAATAAATGTAGCATAACAAGTCAGTGGTAATACAAATAATAATATGATATTAGGACATACAATGAAAAGTAAAGTGACTTTTGTTTCTTCATTTTTCCCTTTTAAAGGACAACAACAACAGCATCCGACCAGGAAAGACAGGTGACCAAACTCAGGCCACAACAATGCAATCTTCACCAGCAGGTGGGACCAGTTATCATGTTTTATATACTAAAATTTAAAAAGTGTTTTTTGCAAAATGGTGTTATGTCAACGTTATGTTTTGGGGAACGTATGTATGTGGATACTTCTATATGTATGTATGTATGTTGATACTTCTATATGGTTGAACTAAAAAAAAACATTGCATTGATGCTGTTGAAATTTGGTGTTTAGTTAGGTTTTTGTCTTTGAAATGATTAGATTTGTGGACCCCTGGTGGCTTTCAGAAAATAGTTTTTCGGTCATGTTATCATATTTTACAGAATTTTTATTGTGTTTGCGTGGCTAAATTCTCGGGAACGGGTTTTCTGCACATGAAAAATTTGCGCGTAATAAATACAAGTCCCAGAAATATGTTATAAAGTATGCAGCACTTAATTCTTAGGCAGGAAAATGTTGTCCTCTGGTATAATTTTCCCTCAGCCAAAAGTTTTGTTTGAAAATTTAGGTCGCTTGGGAATAAGCTAATTTGCATACCTTCTATAAAACCTGAACTTTTGAGAATCACTTGAATTTGTCAGAAATACGTGGAAAAGTTACTATGTTTTGTACAGTAAAATGTAACAATTTGAAGCTATTCTCCATTCTAGAAGTTTGATTTCATGCTTTCTTAAACAAATTCTTTCATGTGCAAATTTCAACCTTTTTTGCACGTGAAAACTAACCTTTCAAAATCACCTGAAATCACAGAAAAATTGACAAAAAACAAGGCTATGTAGTCTAGAATTCAAGCAAAATGATTTTAAATTTTCATTTTCTTGTCTTTTTTCCAACTTTTAAGCTTAAAACCGCAAAAAGTTTTAAAATCCCTTGGGAATCAGCTAATTTGCATATTTTCACATGCAGATTTTTCACGCGCACAAAACCCCATCTCAATTCTCTCAATAGTTGAGCACCGCATGAAAATGACCCGCTGCATATCATTGTCTTTTGGCTTTTAAAAGCCATTGGTAACAATCGCGGGTCATATTTGTACCATTTGCATGCATGCCCATGTGAACATTTTACTTGGAAGTTTTGTAATGGAGGTTAATGGGTTCTTAGGGTAGACCTGGCGCCATGCGTGATGACTTCAACAGGTCCATTTTACACTGGCGACAGTTAACTGTGTAAACAGAAAAAAGGACAGTTTTTCCACGAACCATGGGTGTACCACTTCCACCCTGGTTGTGTGACGGTTGTGAAGGTTCCGGGTCGGAGTTTAATTCTGACCAGGGTTCCAAATAGTGCGCAGTAAATCGCCGGATCTGCGAGGTTGTCACGCTAGGTTTGGCTCCCCATAGCTCGGCGATCGCTGTAGATTTTCAACTAGGTTTTGAATTGATCAAAAAGCCTTGGGATTGTAGTGTTTTTCGGCGCGGTGAAGTTGGACGGCCAGCGAAGCGTTTTTGGTATTAGTCCGCGAGCAAGGGTGATGCGGTTTGTCGCCTGATGACTCAAATAGCTGCGTTCTATGTGGAATTTCTAGGGGTTCACGTCACCGGATTTTGCGAAAAACTTATCGCAACAACCTATATTTTTTTTCTGTTTTTCAGAAACAGGAAGTAGTAAGCTATTTCAGCATATAAGCCGTTAGCCTGGGAAAATTCGTTTTTTCCAAGCAGGTCCGTTGAAAAAACTGCAAAAAAACTACATTTTTCGTATCCAAAATTTACGTTTAACTACAGTTTCTACCCAAATTATAGAGTCGACGGACAATAACCAAAATTGTATCGGAAGCCGGCTGGAAACCTCCGTTGACTGATGTAATGAGATTTCCCGGCGTACTTTTTTTGGCGGAGTTATAGCCCTTCGGTCTGAGGGTGTCCGCCGGATCCAAAATCGTGAAAAAAACTCCGGTCCGAGACCTTGTGTGATGGTTCGTCGTCTGTCTAAAGCAAACTGTCATTTTTTATGGAGATGGGAGGTCACAGGTCATATGCTAATAAGACTATGCTGTGTCACTTCTTGTTCTACCCCAGGTGTCCAGAGTATACCTGGGCACCCAGGGTGTCGTGAACAGTCTTCAGCCCTCAAGCCTGGCTTGCACCCTTATTTGTACTCAGCATCTCAGCAGCAGGAAAATTTCAATAGCAGACTTGAAAGTTGAATAGCATAAACTGCTACAACAAGAAGATGAAACTTTTACTTTTTTATCTGACCGTTCTTGAATGTTCTTTAGAACAGGTGTTCATACCTGTCAGGTGGGAACACAGGTCTGCATCACAGACAGGCTTTTAGCACAAGCTTTTTAGGGGGGCTTTCTTGAAATTCATATAAATGCTCTCAAACACTACTTTCTGCATTTTGAGGTGCTAATTTTTAGGAATTTTAATTTTTTTTTCCTTCAGTAGACCATCATTTTTGTATTTATACTAGTACTAGTAGTAAGGCTGAAGGGAGGCATGTGTGCATGGCAGGGGTTGGGAGTGGAAAAATTGGGCATCTTAAGGGTGTCCTATCAAAAAGAAGGGTGTCCAATTTCTTATTATTTTCAGTACAGGGAGTCCAAAGGACACCCCCTAGCTAAACAACTGATCACAGAACACTACAGGCAGTCAACACAGAGTGCAGGATGTTAATTGTTCATTATGTTATATTAATAGGACATTGTGGTTCACACACAGTTCTGTGGCATAAGTAGCCCAGATGCTTACATACACGTTGGAATACGTGTAAAGCCGGTCTTACGTACAGATGTTCTGCCTTTAGTTCATTCCTTCATCCAAAATCTGGGCTACTGCTCTTGCACAACCCTCCCAACTTTGCCTGCATGTTGTGGTCTTTGTTAAGTCTATGGTATAAATCACTTGAAACTGGGCTTGAATAATATGAAATTTACATCTATAGTCATACAGTACGTATGGCTAAGGCTTACATGTGATATTGATCATATCACGTTAACATTTTGCATTATTGACTTTAAAAAGTTTAAGAGAAAAACACACAGCATATGTATAGGGCCAGCATGCAGGTTTGTGTTGTGAAAATGTTTCCTTTGACATGGAGCATACAATTGTGTACTAGAGTACAGTCACACTTGCCAAAGCGACCTGGTGATTTCCTGTATGAACAAATTGTACCTACACTGTGACAGAATAGATTATTTTTGAATGAATTTTGTAACTTGCCTTAGGTGATTAACAAGTTTGCTATAGCCTGGATGTCAGACCCATAGCACACTATGCCCAAACTACTAGTAACTTGTCTAGTGTGCTATGTGCCTGGCATCCAGGCTACTTTGTATCGATGATGCTGGTAGAGAAAACAAGAGCGAGTGACAGTGTACAGAAAAACAGACCAAAATTGATGTTGTAGATTTGGATGTGTACATTTGTTTATAAATGTGCATTTTCTGACCTATGTGAAGTCTGCTTGAAGAAGTGATTTAGATTTTGTCGTAAAGACAAGTCAACCATTTTAATGCTTAAGCATTGACAGTTGACGATACACGTACTAATTTCTATGTTTGTGAACAATGTTGTAGAAAGTTGTATTCACAGTCTTCTTGTACTGAGGTTGTGTTGACTAATGCCACAGGATCAGAGCTGGGAAGGACTGCCAGCCCTCCATCTCTGGATGTGTCACCCATCGCTCCACCTCGGCACAAAGCCACTGTGAGGAAGCTGACTGTAGCTGACTATGTTGTCATTGGAGGATATGAAAAACTCAGCAAGTCATCTATATCTAAGGGAGAGAGCAAGAAGGTCAGATTTCACATTGTTACCTCCATGAAAAATGGAGGTATTGTTTTTGGTGCATCTGTGTGTGTGTGTGTGTGTTTCCGCACATTTGTAGTCGGCATAACTTCAGAACTCCTTTATGGATTGTGATGATATTTGGTATGCTGGTAGGTCTTAGGAAGCCAAAGGTCAAGGCCAAATATGGGCCCCCTGGTGGCTGACCTTGATACTGCAGCAGAACTTCCAGTTTTTGTATCTTTTGCAAGGCAGGGAAAACAGATGTGCAGGCAGCGTGGTTTGATTCATAAATTTACAGAAACGATAGCCGTTCATTTTGTGCTACTACGGGACAATATCGAAAAAAATGAGACGAGTTACAAAATTCAGCGTCGCCCAAGCGCGCAGACAACAACAAACAAAATGGCGGCCCGGCGGCCAACTTCACAAACGAGTTACAAACTACGAGTATTGCTGCATAAATCTGCTTAATTTCGAGGTAGAAATCTAGGTAGAAATACAATCAAATGTTAAGCGTCATTTGTACTACAAAATGTAAAAGCGTTAATAGCGTGCTACGACTAAGACGAATCGAAAATTCGGGAACCAAGCACCGAGTGAAAAAAATGGCGTCACAAGTTTTTCGAAAATTGTGAGTCAACTTTTACGGCAAAAAATACGATTAAACGTTACTGTTAAAGGCTATAGTGTCTGTAGAACTTTCTCGAGGGCGTCATGGATTCCATTACGCTCCAATCCTATGGCGAAGACGCCGGGTTTCGCTGTAAGCTCGTCTGCGGCGCCGGACATGTAGCGGCGTGCAGCGACATAGCTTGCCGCGGCATGGAGCTTGGGGAGGGGGGCGGCGGTGCCGCACGCAACACAAGCGTGCGTAATTACGAACTTTTTGAAGTCACCGCGCCGCTACAGTACTTTGTAAATTATTTATTTCAAGACACCATCGGCGTGCCTGTTTTGTTTTTTCTTTGTAAAAATCGATTTTCGCTGGCGTAAACTGTTTTTTTTTATTTTCTTAAAAAAAAAGGCCAGTGTTTTAATGTATTTTTTACACACATCAGCCATGTTCTCATACCGCTATAATTAAGTGACGTGAGCTTGTTCATTTTTCGCCGACCCCTATAATTTCCAACCGCATTTTAAAATGGATTTGCAGTATTTCATGGAGGTATGAGATCTCCGAATTCTTGTTAACAATGGAGCATTCTTGTATTGTGTACATGTACTACCGGTAACTCTCTCAGTCTCAGTGTGGTCCTAGTTATGTTTCCTAAACCTAAGGCTACACCAAATTAATTTCTGTTGCTCCAATTATGCTGCTTAAGTTTTTCTCTTTTGGACAAAAATGATGACATGTACCAATCGGGATATGAATCAGAAGTGGTCATATTTTATATAGCATCACCAGTCAAAGAAAATCCTTGCCTTCTTAGCTGGCACCAATTTGAGTCTTGGTTCTCAGAGGTTTTCTCAAGGAAATAAGTAGCAGAGCAGGTGGGCAAAATAAAATAGAAATGAAAAAGAACATTCATAGATGTTGGAAAATGATAGTGCTGAGGCTGTGTTCGACTGGTTTGAGAAGTTCACATAATAGTTTGAACAGACCCTAACGTTGCTGGTGTTGATGCCGTCATGATCCGCCACTTTTTCATGGCATGCAGCAGTGGTTGGTAACATAATCCTCTGTGCATGTCATTCCTTTGTACTATTGTTTGACTCTTTTTTCAAAACTGTAGCTTTCTCTGCAGTGTACTAGTCAAGGTTAGTGAAGGTATGAGATCGTTGAACTACTTATTTTAAGGCTTTTGGCACACACAAACTGAGGTTTCTCTATCATTACAGCTGAAGATCTCCTTTAATGACTCGCCAACTACCTTTGAGTACCCATCGGAGCAGTCTTTGCTGGAGGAGGATGACAGAGAGAGTGTCCAGGCTCCTACAGGACTTCGTACTACCCCCAGTCTGACCACTTCAACAGGGGACAAGGTGCTTTCAGGTATGGCTAGAGCATTAGAAATTTCAAAAGACATGTTGGAATGTCCCGAGGTTTTATGAAGAAGAACTTTATTGCACGACAATTGCCCATGGTACAATGTATGGCAAACTACATAAAGAAAGTAACAAACAATAAAATAAATGTGTTAAATAAGACCTAATGTCGAATAAAACCTAACATATCTTAATTACTCTGGGATAAGGGATAACACAAGTCTTTGATAAAGTGTTACAATCGAGTGGGCTAGTCACAAGTTTCGGTATGTTTTCTAATAACAAAGCATTCCTTTATATATCTACCTATTTTTGCGTTGTGGGAACCATGTTAGACTTAGAAAGTACCCCTTTATACATGTACATGTTTTTTGTACAACATACATTAAATCTAGAAAGGTTGACTTCCCGGGACCAAGTACAGCATATTTCACTATAAAACGATGGAACCTAAGCTAGTAGAGGTGGAGAAAATAACATACGGTACTGTGTGTTAGCGTGCAAAGATCAGACAACATATTTCCTTTCTTCAGGTGGCCTGCACTCATATCAGCCAAGTCAAGTGACATCCAACATAGTGGCTGGTCAGCAGCGTGCAGTGGCCAGTACAGTACCAGAGGACAGTCAGGCCGCATCTGAAGGACATCCTGTGGAAATCTTTGCTGTGAAACCCTTAGCAGACAGTGAAGCTCCCATGTGGAGCAGTAGTTCATCTATGGCAAGTGCTTTGCTGTTCTAAGAATGCAACTCCCCCATTAATATTGTTAATTACATGTAACCATGATGTTTTCAATTCAATAAGGGTAAGATCTTTTACAAGATCTTTTTTTTTCTTATCAGCTCACGTCGTGCTTAGAACTGTATGAACAGCTTGCATTTTACAACTGGTCCAAAAATGACCAGTTGACACATTTTGGAAATGCACCTGAACAGAATACTAGAACCAGAAGTAGAATGTGAGGGAAAGTAAAATTTATCCCAAGATGGGAGTGAACACAGCAGTGGTATGCAAACACACTGGCAGGGTGAAAGCTGTACATGTATGTAAAGCACAGGCCTGCTCACCTAAATGTGTTCCAGCTCATAGAATTAGATGTATGTGATAAACTGAAGCTTTTACTTCATTATTGCACCTCACTTGTGTACATTTATAATACTATTATTAATAGCACATAGAACTATGAAGAAATGTTACGTTACCTAGCCAATTCAGAAGGTATTACGTCACATCTGTGCCTTGTCTGTAGTAATTATACCTAAAACCATGGATTATGTACTGATGTACATTTGTAGGAAGTTCAAAATACTTTTGGTCAGGTCATTCTGGCTCCACCTACCCATAGATGATATGATAATTTTGTCACAGAATTGGATCAGATCAATGTTTTAAATCAGTTCTGTCAGGTTGAACAATAATGTCAGTATATCTCACCTGACTTTGACTTCCTGTTTCAAAGGAACATCATCTCCCTTATGAAAGTACAGACGTCATATTGAAGAGATAGTGAAACTATAGAAAGCGTGTGGCCTTTTATCAGCATGTACACGTTACATGTACATGTCCTTAGTCTTGGCTGAAGTGTGACACAGAGACTGACAGCTGACAGTTGAAGTAAAATAGAGCTGAGACAGAAAGTATCTGAAACAGATCTAAGACTTTAACAATTTGGCAGATCAAGAACTGTAACAGATGTAAAAAGCTAAGACAAAAGCTAATCTTAGCTTTATCTTTGTTTTAATCCTGCAAGATCTCAAACATTCCCTTGTTATGTGGACACTTTAATGTTTAGAAATTCCAGTCCAATCAGGTATTGTTGTCTTATTTTCAAACTAGAGTTATAGAAGTGCTTGTAACTCTATGTGTCATATCTTTAAAATGTACACGTTTACCACTAGGTTCAGATAAAGCAATAGCTTAATGCTCATACCTGTGATTTGTTGAAGGTTTGATACTGCTGGATGTAGATGATTATTCATGATCAAATGTGAATATATTTTCATTGAATTATCAACTCCAAGCAGACAAATTTATCAAGTTGTGTAGTGGTCTTTTATTAATTGAATTGAAAAAAAAATATTATGCTTTGCCAAAAGTATCTGGTATGCTGATTGGACAGAAATTGTACAGCAGCATTTTCCCCACTGACTAATTGTTAAGTGGGGATACAGGCTTTCCAAGCTTGTAGAGATATAAAAAATATTGCCACATATTTTGTTTTCATCAATATTACCCAATTATCGAGAGGGGGAGGGGGTTGGTCACTTTTACAGTTTGCTGTACAACTGGGGATCTATTGAAAATTACATGTAATTAACTTTTGACAACCTCCAAGTCCAATGCAACAGCTACAAAGTCTGTAGGTTTCTTATTATGAATTAAGTAGGGGGCTTGAATTTAATTAGTTGTTGCAGACATTAACATAAGTAACAAATCAGGACCTGATGTTCCAATGTATATCCTATGTACAGACTAGTGATTCTTCAATACATGTACAATATCTACTATATGGAAGTAACTGGAACCCATGGAACTCCAGTTATGTGTTATTCTGGCTCCACCTATCCATATGATATGATAATTTTGTCACAGCATTGGATCAGATCAATGTTATAAACATCTTCAACCATAGTTAAGATTGGAATAAAACGATGTAAATACATGTACTATGTGATTTTGTGGGCAACAAAATCATACGTGATTGTACTATTTGTGTATTGTGATTTGCATAGTGTGGTATACTAAATTAAACTTGGAGGTTTGATTGAAGTTGAATGTTTTGTTTTTTATTCAGAGATGTCTTAATCCCTGTGTAATATTATTACTAAGTAAAGCTAAATACTAGTATGCTAAAAAGTGCTTGTAAATGTCACATGAAGTTTTTGTTTTTCTTGTACTAACGTTTTTGTTTTCTAGATCCTAATCTACTCTTTATTATATATAGAATGAAGGAAATTTGTAACGTTATAATAAACATTACACACTATAAAACTGCACCCACACATAATGTCATGCCATTTGAATCTCTACCATTGATATCACCGGGCAGTATTGTAAACAGAAAAAGTACATCCACATATCAAATTTCAGGTGCTGCTTTTTTTTTTTACTTTAATGACACTGCACAGGAGCCAAAATAATACATTTTTGGTGTTGGTAAGGCCATGTTGATTTGATTATATGGATGACATCCTCCGGGAGCCCCAAAACTGATGCGCGCGTGCGAATAAAAAAAAGTTTTGCAAAAAAAAAAAAGTTCTTTTCATTATGAAATCTACGTGGTCATGAGGGTTGAGCAAATGGCACAGAATATGGTTTGGCGAATAATCTAGTCTTCAAGTTCATTTCTTTACAATTTTGTCTTTTTTCGTTTGATTTTGGCATTCTACGACATTGGTATACTAAGTAGTTTTTATTAATTTTTTTTGTAACTTATGGTATATTTTTGCTCATTTTGCAACTGTTTTGTACGATTTACAGTTTGGTTGAAAACTTCTTTATTTTTTGGAAACGGCCGAAAATGAATGATCATGCGCGCGCGGATGTCATCCATATAATCAAATCAACATGGCCTAACAATATTGTTGTTGTTGTTGTTGTCCTTGTTTAACGTCTATTATGTCGCTAGACGTGGTCTCTAGTCTAGGTGCTCAGTTTTTCACTTGGTTCAGTTCAGAGTCAATGATCAATAAATGATTTAGTCAGTCTGGCAAGGTGTAAGCTAGAATACAGAATGGGCAATAGGCTGATAATCGTTAGCGACTGTGCAGACTGTGGGAGCGGACATGAACTAACCAGAATCCAGTCTAGTTTGAACATGATGTAGCCTGATAATGATGTGGATATATGATATCAGATGATATTGTTTACAATGCCCCCAAAAAAACTAAAGGGTACCTATCTCGAGTGGAATCATCTCCATCAAACACGGTCAACTTTGAAACCTCGTTTACCAGTCTAACCTTCAGCGGATGAACTTTGAACTTTGGCCAGTACACTTCTTGCCCATTGATTGGTTGTTGAATAAGGAGCCGCCCCTTTACCTGTTGCTGATTGGCTGTTGAGAGGAGGAGAATTTAAACTCCAGGACAACAGGCGACCGTTTGAGATCAAAACGGAACGCTTTAAACCGTCCTCGTCTTGCCTGGAAAGGAGGGTCTATTCATCGTTTAGACTCTCTAGATTCTTTTTTAGAACATGTCATAGAGTAAGTCACTGGCGTATGTGCCCTTTGAGCAGATTCATTGTATTGGGATTTGTCTTGCGTTTCTAACGCCCAGACGGACAGCAACGTAGATAATTTTTCAGCGATAACGCTGGCCATGGCTGGGTCCGTTTTATGTGGTAATTCGTCTAATGACAACTGAGGAAAATGGATGGAAGTGCAAACTGTGAAGTGACCGTCGGTTCGGGCGTGGACGATGTACGGAGCATGACATGGTTCGACCCATGGGATCGCAAAGGGACGGTGACAAGCCCGGCAGAGCAGCAGGCGGCGGAAGACGTTCCCGTGCTGCAGCTGACCAACTTCGCCGTGACTCCGCGGATTGGATTCGGCCTTGTTCGCGTCGGCGAAACCCAGACAAGAAAACTACTTCTTCATAACCCTGAGCAGTTTCCTGTCACAGTAGCGGTGGAAAAAGTTCCACGAGCAAAAGGTGTTTGTGTATAATGTAAATTATTTGTTTTCTATTTTGGGTTGTATTTTTTCTAGGACCTTCTAGCCTGGATGCCAGACCAATAGCCCACCGGACACAAAGTATCTCACGGCTCACTGAGATGTACTTTGTGTTCAGTGTGCTATGGGTCTGGCACCCAGGCTATATTTTTTCTCTTTTAAAAGTTTTATTGTTGTTTTCATTCAGACTTGTTGCTCTATTTCACTCAGCCTGTAAATTCATTTACAGCCTCATTTATTTTCAACTTGATCACAAGAAACTCAAGGACAGGGAAGGAGGTTTATGTCATCATCATAATGTTTGTCATGTCTTTTTTTTTCCCCTTTAGGCCACACCAATTTAATTTGTTGGTTAACAGATTTTTCTAGTAAAAAATGGAGCGGGCGGGCAAAAAATAAAAACAGACCTAGGCATCTTTACTTATTATGGCCTGAAATGGTATATACGATAGGAACCATGGAGTCAACACACCAGGCTGGTTCAAAATTTAAACAATGAATTTTGAACTTTTAATGATACCATTGCATTGAAAGATGGAATAACTGTAACAAGTAGGAAGAAAAGGACTGTTTTGAACTGTTCAGGGCAAAATATGAACGTTTTGCAGTTGATTCTGAATTTTTTTTTGCAAATCAGAAAAAAATGAATCCGAGAATTCAAATTAAATTGGTGTAGCCTTAGTTCGTGATTCAATTACTACAAATGTAGTATGTGTTTTTTTTATTTAGGACTCACTCTCACACCTCACACTTCCTCGTATCCTCATTTTGTTTCGAAATTTCTTCCAAAACAGTCATATCTCCATATTCGGTACTATCTAAGCTTCGGTACTACCCACATTGAAGGGACATCCTGCTCAGGAGGCAAAAAGAGGTGCTCGCCCAGGTGCGCCGGTAGAAGTGTTGCACTGTGAATAAATAACTAACAAACAAACTAGTGCTATACACCAATCTCTGGCTCTTTTCATCCTGTCGGACGGTCTATTGTCTTTCCTTCCGTTTTCGTCTCGCGTTGGCAGCTTTTTCTTCCCTCAAAGCTTTGTAGGTGGCCATCCCACTTGTAACTGCTGCCCTCCATCTATTCCTGTCCACTGCTAGTTGTTCCCATGTTTTCTCCTGGATGGAGAAGTCCTTCAGTGTTGATCTGCAGACGTCCTTGTAACGTAGATGGGGTCGTCCTCTAGGTCGCCTGCCTGTAGACAACTCGCCATACAGTACTAGCTTTGGAAGTGCCTGAGTGTCGTGGTGCCACCCGAGGTCCAAACATTGGCACCAGCTAGACTTGATCATTACTCGTAAAAAGCATCTTAACTCAGTCAAAGTAGGTGATGAAAATAATAAAAAAGAGTGATGGCCACACTGGGGATTGTCCGTTTGAACTGGTTAAGTGTGGTGACCTTGATCTTCTTGATCTTGATACTTTTTTTTTTTTTCAACCTTTATTTCACCTTGAAAATGTACAGTACAAATGTGTAGCAGTACAAACTCTTCGGCCTAAGCCGTTTTTCAAGAGGTCAAGGGGAGGTAGGTCAGGGTCTTCGCAAATTCTTCAGTTCAGTTACAATCAGTCGTATAATTACAATATAAATATATACAATACTGTACTGTGGAACACCTTGCCTCCATACCTAGTGGCACTCACAGTCAGAGTCCTATACACAAGAAACCCACAACAGAAGCCTACCTCTAATCCCGTAAGTCTGAAGTTTTAGGAGCAAGCGGTTGTGCGGAACTTTGTCAAAAGCTTTGGTAAAGTCTGTTATAATCATGTCAGTTTAGAGAACGGGCTAGGTCGTTTGTTGTTAAGATGAGCTGTGACTCACATGAACGATTTTTTCTGAACCCGTGTTGTTTATCAGTCAAAATAGAAAATTCTTCAAAATGGTCCATTATCTGTGACTGTATTATATGTTCCATAATCTAATATATACTACTGTCTACAAAATGCATGTTAACGAGACAGGACGGTAGTTAGCAGGGTCTGTCCTTTCTCCTTTCTTGTGTACAGGAGACTGTGAGTGCCACTAGGTTTGGAGTCAAGGTGTTCCACTCAGTGACAGTTCTGGGAAAAAAAAACTGGTCCTGTGTACCTCCATCTTAGACTAAGTTAGAGATGGTAATGTGAGTTGTAAGGAATCGGAGCGAGTGGGGACAGTGTTAAGTGTGAGGTATTTGTATATGGGAATGGCTATGAGATTGATTTGTATATGATTATGAGTGTTAGGTGAGCTAGCTGTCTATGCTGCTGTATTGTTGTCAGTCCAAGTGAGGATAGTAAAATTGTGTAACACTAGTACTGGTGGTACATGTCAGACTCTGTAGTCTCCTGATGTAAAACACACTAAATGCACGTCTCTGGACTGATTCCAGCTTATCAACTAGTGTTGACGTACCTGATCGATAATATAAGGATCCCAGACGGATGCTGATAGCCTATATAGCATGCCAAAAACTGGGGGTTTGGACCGTTTGGGGGTCTTCAAGGTCTTTTGGAGCTTTTATGTGCTATTTTTTGATAGACATTCATAGCCGGCCTGGTTGAATTACTAGTACCGGTACTTAGAACTGGGCTAATCAGAAAACAGCCGAAGACCACCAAATCCACAGTTCTATAACTTTTTTCTAAGCCTGTTTGGGCCTGACCAGGGAAGTAAATCCCCATATGCCCTTGTTAGCCCCCCTTAGGTTGCACCCCAGTGTACTGTTAAGTGTTAGCCTGTCCTGTACAGGTTTTCTTCAACCCTACCCCAAGGCCTAATATACGTCTTTCCTTGTTCATATACAGGTTTTTCTGTTGACTTTGGTGAAGTTGAGGTGCAGGCTGGAGAGGATACTGTTGTGTCAGTGCAGTGGACTCCAGGAGAGGCATGTAACTCCCGGGCACTGCTGGTCCTGAAACTGGACGATGCGTACCGCCTGCATGTCATCCTGTATGGGAGGGCTGTGGTGCCAGTGGCGGGGAAACAAAAGGTAAAGTCGGGACTTGGGCCTCAGTTTGTCATGAACTCAATGTATACAATTGTTGTACATACCTGCAGTTTACAGAAATTTTGTCATTGCAGGTGTGGCCATGTTGATTAGATTATATGGATGACATCCCCTGGGAACCCCAAAACTGATCAAATCAACATGGCCTGATACTAAGATAGTAAGAAAAAGTACTCTAATGTCCCGAATAAACGTACTCTCATTAGAGTAGTGGGTTGCAATTTTGCTTGTGAAAAAAATTGGCATTGACATTGTAAATCATTAATAAAAATGTGTATATAGTAGTTCAAGACAAGAGCTGTGTACCTGAACCTGTAGGGTCCTAAACAATTCAACAAATTGCCATGTTCTTCTGAACTCCTTCCATAATGACAGAAACATGAATAAACTTGACAGTCAAGTGTAAGTTTTTGTTTATAGAGAATTCTTGTACAAACCATGGGCCAAACTAACATGTTTCAGTTTTCATCTCATACCCTGCAACACATACCTGACCAAAAAGTGACATCTAGAGGGACTGAGGGAGCGTAACTAATATGCAATGTTCAAATCTTTCAGGGTACAGTCTTACAGAATCATGAACTCTTATATGCATCTTATCAAAAGTATGCAAAATTATGATAGCCTCTCTATATATATACAGCCTAGGTAATTATAATCAAATTAGTGTACATGTGTTGGCGTAACAGTTGTAGGTTACAATAAATTTGGGAATAAAAAATCCTGCAATGTTCTTCTGATTCAGTGCTATTCAAAGTAATGCTACTGGACAGTAAGTTATGAAAGGAAAATAAATATAAAGGTTACCACACATCTGCAACTAACTTGAGAGGACATGTATAATGAGACATGCTTGTTCTGTTCAATCTTAGCGTGCCAAGAAGAGGACCCGTCCAAGGGAAGCAGTCAAACAGGGGAGTGTTCCTGATGTGTCAGGTTCAGACAGGAAAAGTCGTGCTGTTTCTGACACAGAGGCTGAAAATACCCCTCCTGTGTCATCACATCAGCCTAACATTTGTGATAGTCCACAAATAAAGCTTGGATCTAGTGAAAAGTTGAAACTAGCCAAGAACATTGTTAACCGATCGGGCAAAACACACCAAGATAGGCATGTGATCAACAACTGCAGTACAGATGCCACAGCCACTGTTCCACCTGGTACCACAGTCACTGTTCCAGGTACCACAGCCACTGTTCCACCTGGTACCACAGCCACTGTTCCAGGTACCACAGCCACTGTTCCAGGTACCACAGCCACTGTTCCAGGTACCACAGCCACTGTTCCAGGTACCACAGCCACTGTTCCAGGTACCACAGTCACTGTTCCAGGTACCACAGCCACTGTTCCAGGTACCACAGCCACTGTTCCAGGTACCACAGCCACTGTTCCAGGTACCACAGCCACTGTTCCAGATCCGGCAAATTCTTCATCTGTTCAGAAGACCAAGAGGATTCTGCAGCCATCAACTGTCACTAAAAGAAAGCAAAACTTCGGAAAGTCGTCAGATGGTGTACGTATCAAAGCAGCCAAGAAAGAACTTTTTGGCACTTCCACGTCCCTTTCTGCCCAGCTGCAGCATCAGGCTGTACCTCAACAGCCATCAAATGTTCACGCTGGCCCATCTGCCTGTAATCTTGTCAAATCAGACAAGAATAGTCATAGTCAAGACATGCCCATGGGTCCTGGGAGTGGCAAGCCGTTTGTGTTCAGAAGTGCTGTTAGCAAGAACAAAGGGACGCCAGCAAATAGTGTTCCACAGAAAGTGTCAATGAAGAAAGGTGTTGCACAGACCAAGAAGTCACAACCAGTGAAAGCCAGGTCAACACAAGGTAACATTGCTAAGTAATAAATAATAAACATTGATAACATATCCGCAAAAACCATACAAATTTATATCAAAATTCTGTCTCCTTGAATGATTTTTGCTAAACTTATTTTGCAATTCTTGAAGTTTAAATCAATTTATCTCTATCGTGATATATCTGTTTTTGAAAACAAAGAAATTACTAGTAATGGGACAATGTTTGTTTAGGTCTTTAGGACTATACTCACATCTACCAACTAACTGTAGTCTTATTTTGTATGTTACATTCCATTAATTGTTATTCATACTTGTGTTGAGTTCTGGTGAATATCTGTCCATGCTTGTTTGATCCAGGTGAAACTTCTGGTGGAACAGCTCGCTGCCAGCCCAAAGTTGCCAAGTCCAAACTCTGCCTCGTCAAGACCTCTAACAAGCAGCAGTCAGGTAGTACATTCATGTCATATCTGGGCGATATGGGTTTTCTGGATTTGGTGGTTAATGAAGGGTTAATGACCCGCCCCGAGGTGAATATGGTGTGATAAAGCCTTGTCAGTTGCTATAACCACCGAATAAAGCCATCAAGTGAGCGACAGCGAACGCTATTATCATACAGCTTACACGATAGCCTATCCAAACTGATGCAGTAAGTGACACAATGTACAATTTACCTGTTGCACATGCTGAATAGAACATAGTTCCATCTGGAGTCACCTGAGGTCACTGGATAGAGTTCACGTTAACTGGGTCACAGGCAGGGAACAGGTGTTCTTATGGAAGTCACCCGCGGTCATTGGAACAACTTAAGTTATTTTTGGATTTTTTAGAACTAGAGCGGTGTTCTATTTTTGGGTCACCTGAGGTCATATGCGGGTGATTATTGGTTTTTTTAATGTATGGATTAGGATGAATAAATACCCAATTTTGACTATATTTGTGACATTACGGCATCATAAGGAATGTGGAATGGAACCTTCTGATTGGTCAACATCACCTGGCTATATGATAATAAAGGGTTAATGCCCCACTCCGAGGTGTATAGATGAGATAATCCCTGGTCAGGTGTGATAACCACTGAATGAACCACCAAGTGAGCGGAGCGAACAAGGTTGTTCATAAGGTGTTTATTGCACCTGACCAGGGATTATATCACCATATACACCGAGGACAAGGCGGTACATTAAAGTTATTATCATACATGTATATAACCTATCCAACTGACATAGTTATTTGACAAAATTCCTTATAAAGTTTATAAAATTCCTCCATTGCCGAAAAAACTCACATTCTGTGTTACCTGAAACAAGATTGGACAGAAACAGATCTAGGCAATCATCTGCAGTGACAACATGATATTGGAACAGTACCACTTTTAGTGGGGGTGTCAAATTATTTCTAGTCTTTTTCTGTTTAAATTTCATTTATTTCTTTTTAATTGTGTTGTATTTTGAAATAACTTATTCAAAATAAACCAGTACAATATGTTTTTAATAGAGCCAGCTGAGGATATGTGCACTAACTCAGTCCAGGTCCATGTGATAATGTCATTGTCTCTCCTTACAGTACCAGCTCTCCACTACATGCCATATGTATCAAAGAACATGTACTATGATGAGCGTTGGATGCAGAAGCAAGAGCGAGCATTCATACAGTGGCTGAACTTCATCCTCATCCCAAACACTATGGAATCCCAGCTGTGTCAGAATGTGACAGGTGGGCATGCATGCTTGTGATTACCACAATGTGGTTTCTCACTGGTTACCGGTAATTTAAATGTACCAAGTGCAATAGATGTAATGCACAGAAGGCACAATTCAGCCTTTGCCTGCAAGTTGCAACGCTTTTTTTTATCGATAATAAAACCAGTTTTGATTGATTAATTGATTGAATTTCATCGTACATGTACTTGTTTAAAGAAAACCTAACATTCTGGCAATTCATGATCATGCCTCACTACATGTACATGAATAACATTATCCTTTTATCTATCTTCAGTCAAGCTTCACTTGCAGTCCTACTTTACTGATAAATGAATGGTTATCTCCCAAACGTATTATATCTACATGTACTTAGATACACACAGAAGAAACATCTGAGTTGACACAATGACCTCTCATACTGGCTGTTCATAGAAATGCAAACATTTGACAGAATCTGATCTTCCGTTTGTTTTGTTTTGTTACGACAGCTAACTTTGATGGACCATTGACTGATTGAGTCTATCAGAAAAACATGTTAATGGGACTTCTGCTTATCTGTTGAATATTTTCCAGTTCCAGGTAGGATGCCTGCTGTGTCAGTTGACCAGCAGCTGCGTATGCGTGAGTATGCTGTACTCTGTAACCTGAACAGCGTGCGGCGTGCTGCGTGTTTGCTGTTCCAGTCGGAGCCCGTGGCCCGTGTGTTACAGCGGGTTGAGGAAGAAGTGGAGACGGGCAGACTACGGGTCCGTGATGACAGACATCTTCATGCTGACCAAGGTATGGATCAAAGACTCTTCATCCTTCATTGATCTAGTAACCTCTTCTGATAAATGTACCGTCATTAATTATATTGCAGTTAAATCAAGAAGATGAATTTATCTACAAATGCACTAAATAAATGTAACTTCAGATCAGATACGTATACGTCAAATTTCTAAGAATCTTTGTGGAACCATGCAGTTTTGTCTGAAAAGCCTACTACATGTACCAGTACATGTATACTCATGTATACTCATGTATGACAATCAGTTTCTGTCCATTTTTAGGAATTCGTCAACAAATACTGGACATGCTTCTCTCCTACAATCCAGTATGGCTGAGGGTAGGACTTGAGGTGGGTTAAATAAATACTTGATACTGGTGTTTGTGTGAGCCTTTTTTATGACTTTTCTACAAGTACATGTAAAGATCTTTGTTTTTCAATATTGAAATTGTACAAAATGTTGATCTCCAGAAATTTCCGAACGTAAAATAATGTTCGGGTGGCTTGGCCATGATTTGGTAAAATGGTTATATCTGTTTTCTTTCATGCCAGGAAAGTATTCTTACAAATTTCTTCAAAAATATGGATACCATTTCACAAAGAGTTAGATCTACTGATCAAAATGATCATTGTAAACATTGTGCATTGTAAACTTACCTGCAATGGGCTTGTTTTTTCAGCATTGATTTCAGCCTATAAACTTTTTCTATGGCCCATTATAATCTTTGTCATTTCAGTCGTATATGAAACCATTTTAGTTGCAGTCTGGTGCCCAGAACCAACTGTACAATAATTCTACTGTACAACCTGTGAGACAAGTGTAGTGTATTGCAATGTTGGGCATGTAGGTTGCTTAGTTTGAAGCTGTCATATACTCGTACATAACGCCACACGGATTTAATTTTATGGATGACATCCTCTGAAGATCCCCAAACTAGTGCGCGCGGGCGAATAAAAAAAAAGTCCGGCCAAAAATAAAAATGCTACTAAACCACAGGAATACAAAGCTGGTATTGTGAATTTGTGACAGTACTTAGCAACGTATACGACATGCTGGCTTTTTGCGGCATTTATGAATCTGTACTGTACATGTACTTATGTACTGAGTTCTTGAGTCGTGGAGCTTCGAATTCAATAGCCTGGGTGCCTGGCTCCGTTTTGTGGCTGACTACCATGGACTACCCAGGCCTTAGAGCCAGGCCAGAGCCTCGGTGGAGGTGATCTCTTTTTTTAGGGCGACAGGCGAAAATCAATGCGCGCGCGGATGTCATCCATAAAATTAAGTCAGTGCCTAATACTAAAATTGTAGTTACTACATGTAAAAAGTACCATATTTAAACCTTTGTACTGATGGACCCATTACTTTTCCACAGACCATATTTGGAGAGGTTCTACCACTGCAGCATTACGGGGATGTGGCTGGGCTGTCCAGGTTTGTCCTGAATCGGGTCCTCGGCAATCCAGACATTGCCCAACAGTTCAGCCATCCAACTGTTCCTCATATGTACAAAACAGGTACCTTTTGACTAACTTACTAGTAAGTTTTTGAGTAATGCTTTCAGGGCTCGAAGTACTGGGTGCATCTGCACCTTAGTGCACCCAAACTTGGAGCTGTGCACCCAATTTTTTCTGTGGGTGCACCAGTGCACCCAAACATTTTCATAGGTGTAATGTATGTAAAGATATCAAATATATAGTTACAGCATATTCTTAAAATCTAAGTGTCAGAAAAAATAATACAATAATTGTTATAGTACTTTCCTTGAAATGAAACATAATCATAGTTTTTATAGACATTCTACTTAGTTTATCTCATATGGTGCACCTAAAATATTTTTGTGCACCCAATTTTTTTAGGTTGGGTGGACCAGTGCACCTACTCCCAAAAATGAATTTTGAGCCCTGGCTTTTTAGTAATCATATAATGTTCTTCCATGTTTAAAGTGACGTAAACTGACCATTGCAGTCATTTTACCCACTGTGACTTCATTTTTGTTCCAGGCTATGCTGCAGCCCTCGCAAAGTTCACACTCAAGAAATTCTTGACTCTAGTGTTCTTCATGGACACAGCCAAGCTCACTCGTCTGATAGATCATGATCCATGCCTGTTCTGCATCAATGCCAACATCAAGGTACAATCATGTATTTCATGTTTTGTGTGGTATAATACATGTACAAATGTTACATTTGGTTTGTAGTTTTGTGACATACTGTACTTTTGTTTTGTTTTGCAAAAGCTCTTTTTTTTCAATGAAAATACGTCGATGAAGGTTAGACATCCAGGTAATACGATACGTCAAAAAGCAGTTACTCAAGCAACTGGATATGATTTTGAAAACGTCAGACGTTTCAGCTAGTATCCACTAGAAATTCGTCAGTGACTGCATTTCCCCTCTGGTCTCTCAGTGAGTCACTGACGAAAGCTAGTGGATACTAGCTGAAACATCTGACGTTTTAAAAATCATATCCAGTTGCTTGAGTAACTGCTTTTTGGTGAAAATACTTATAAATTGAGAGTTTTAGGGTGTAATGATGCACAACTAGTGGTTTGTCAATCTTGCATACCTGCCACCATCTGGCAGTCTTGTGTTGGGAGTGCAGGTTTAAACAGGAGATTACAAACTCTAACCGTGATGTTTTCTGTTTTGTATACAGAGCAACAAGGAACTGTTACTGAGCTTCTCACGAGAGTACCTGAGTGGGGAGGGGGATGTGACCCGCCACCTGAGTTTCCTGGGCCTGACTGTAACACATCAGCAGACTGCCCTGATGGAAATGGACTACACTGTTCACAACCTGGCCACAGATCTTAGGGATGGACTGCGACTTATGTAAGTATCAGAAGGTACAATGTAACAATTTCAAATTTGCACAGATAGTACTAACATCATAAGAATTGTATAGTAAAGCTACAGTGTTGCCAAATTTGTGGCATGTGCCACACAATATGGTCCTTAGCTGACAGTTATTAACTTAATGTAATTGTAGTCCTGATGTCGCACAGTCACACAGTATAAATATGATCATTATTTATCTGGTAAAGCAATCTGTCAACCCTTGCAATTGTTACTGTTCTTATTTGTTAACCTGCAGAATGCAAGTTCCATGTATACAACTTGTTGTATTCTGTCTGATATAATGTTGTTTCACATTTTTCTGTTAACTTAGATGATTTTTTCGAAGTTTAGAATACCATTACTTGTACATATGCACACGGCGGATGTTTATCAGTGTTACACAGAAGAAACTGAATCCTATATTAATTCTGTAATATAGTACACATATTCTCAAATTTCCTGTCAGCCGTGCTGTAGAGCTTCTGACAAGAAACTGGACTCTGTCCTCCAAGTTGCGAGCCCCTGCTGTCAGCAGACTGCAGAAAATCCACAACACAAAAGTTGCTCTTGATGCTCTTCAGCAAGCTGGAGTGGCATTGGATGCAGGTGAGTGATATTGCATGTGCATTGTAACAATTAACATTAATCTGTCCTGAATGATTATACTGCAAGCTTCGAAACAAGTTTCAAACTAATCATGACCAAATACATGTATGATGATAATCATACCTTTTCTTCATCTTCCTCAGTCTTCTAAGTGAATTCAAAGCTTAGTTAGGGCAAGATATTTTGAATTCCCAATTTCATTTCTTGTTGATCATTGCTGAAATTTCTTTTCTTTTTAGAACTTTTTAGAAAGTGCATGGATGTCTTGAATTTACTTGCTGTGGCCTAACATTGATTACAGGACCTTGAACTTCACTTTGTGTCCAGCTACTACTTATCCCTTTAATTATTTTTACAAGTTAAACAAATGCAAGGTGAAAAGAAAGAAAATAACAAAAGGTAGCATACGTTGCCATTTGAGGTGAGAATCAGTACATGTAATATATGGTTGTATGGTGTTGTGTACATATGCATGTAATTATTCTACCTCTGCCACACATGTAGGACTCCAAGGAAAGAAGATTGAGGCGAGGGATATTGTGGATGGTCGCCAGGAGAAGACTTTGGCACTGCTGTGGAAATTGATCTTTCACTTTCAGGTACAATTTCAGTTTTCTTTGGCTGCTGGTAATGAATTTGAACAAACCTTTGCCTTAGATCGAGACTTTGTTGCCATTGCTGTGAGACCTTGTTTAATCTAGATTCAGCTGCTAAACCATTTGTGTTCATACCATCCGGCTCAGCCTATTTAATCATATTTAAAATCAACTCTGGATCAACCCTGTTTTGAAGTGGGACTCAACAGCAGAAACAAGTGTTTTGGTTCAGTCTGCAGATTATAGTATTTTGCTAATCACAAAAAGTTATTGCATTGACAACTTAACAGTGATCAGGCAGCATTATACTAATTTATATGGCAGCAAATTCTGATAACCCCCCAAGTACCCTCCAGATAAATTACAGTAAGGGAAACATACTCACTGTGTGGAGAAAAACATTACATGTACTATAATACATGTAATTATCAATTAAAATTTCAACCACAAGGAAATGAACAAGTTTCTGCTTTTTTTCATCCTCCCATGGCAGGGGCAGCGGCTCCGAATTCCTTCTCCACCCCTACCCCTGCCGTATAACATGGCATCTTCTACTCTACGACCCGAGGAATATTAATATTCATCAGCTTGCCTTATTTGGCATGACCCCATTTCTGACTTGGGCGGCGAAGGGACGTCACCCTCCCCGACGGCGACTCCGCCGCCGCCCGGTGACGAGCCCGTTAACGCGTTGGGGAGGCCGTGCGGGGCAAAGTCACCGAGTTAACACCTTCCCCGTGCTCGGCGGGATCCGCGCGCAGCCTCCAGCACACGCTAGCGCCCCGCCGACGCCCGCAGCGGCCTGCATCGCAAAAGTTCTCTTCCCGAGACGACGCCATGTTTGTTTTTATTTGTCACTGAATAGCCGACATGATTGGTTCCGATAGCTAGCGCATCTCATAAATATTAATGTCAAGTGCGTTGAAGATTTTCTCTGTGATACGTGATTGGCTGAGAGCGTGTCCCTGGAATCGGGTCGTAGAGTAGAAGATGCCATGTTATACGGCAGGGGTAGGGGTGGAGAAGGAATTCGGAGCCGCTGCCCCTGCCATGGGAGGATGCTTTTTTTTTACATTTACAGTTATTTCAGCAAAAAATAATGTACATTTGTAATAATGGCCTCATATGTAAACTTCCTGCAGGTTTGTATGGAAGTGGAGCACCTGCAGCTGCAGAAGGAGGTGACTTTATTAAGGAGAGAGCTGCAGCTGCGGAGAGGAACAGACGTGTGGCTGGAGATGTACGGACCAACACCTGGCTCTGCAGGCACTACTGACCACACAGGGCTACTGCTGCAGTTGTGTCAGGCAGTTTGTGCTTTCTACAACATCAGGGTAAGATACTGGCAACTTTGTGTTATCTGGACCAGTCACACATGGGGTCAAAAATTGGTAATAGACTCAAAAACTACTGTACTCAGAATTGGGGGTAGGGGTGGATTTGTACTCTAAGTTCTCATATAAACACTTTAAAGTTGCTTGTTGGCTTCTCAAGACCTGCTCCTTGTATACTTACATAAACCCTCAGGTTGACAACTTCTCGGTGTCCTTCTCTGATGGAAGAGTCCTGTGTCTTTTGGTTCATCACTACCTGCCCGAACTCTTACCTCTGGAGGAGATCTACATGGACACCACACAGTCATACATCACTAACCACCGGCAGGCTGGCACAGGGACAGGAGAGGGTCCAGGTCAGACAGTCATGTACTGTACACGTTATAAAACCATGCATGCAAGAATGTGTTTGTGTGTGTGTATGTGTTTGTGTCACTGTGTGTGTCTGTATGTGTGTGTGTGTGTGTGTGTGTGTGTGTGTGTGTGTGTGTGTGTGAAAGTATTGAAACATTACTGTCCGGGCTTTCACAATCATTTGCCCTAAAAATAAGAGCCAGGTGAAGTAATTTCTATGCCAATAGTACCCCCATGTAATCTACAAGAAGGTGAGGAAACTGATCCCTCCTAATACCCTCTTATGTCACTCACATGTGTTACTGGCATGCTACATGTAAGCTGTGGTATGTTTACCACCAAGTGTATACATGCACCAGGGGTCCAAACAGATCACGTTGTGTCATTTGAGGGTTTTAGAATGTACGCAAATATTCAATATTACATAATATTATAAGTTGTCCCTGACAATTTACATTGCACCCTAATTTGGTTCTGTGATTTTTACAACACTCCTTCACAGTATCAATTTCTTTGTTGACAGAAACTGATAAAGACAGGTTGAAGGAGTTACTAGCCCATGAGAAGAACAACTTCCGGCTTGTCAACCAGAAGGTAACATTCTTTAAGATATTTTTATAGTGACACTCTGGTTAAGCTTTCAAATCATTATTACAGAAAACAGCCAGAATTATTGATGTGTTCACTTAGATTTACAAGAATATGAAACCCTTTTCCCCCGCAGAGCTGGCTAATAGACACAATTTGCTCTTCATGCCTTGGGTCAAATTTGATGAAAATCCCTGGTAATAAGGTGTGGCCTACCTGATTGTAGCTGTAAGCAACTGTCAACCAATCAGAGAATTCTCGGTTTGTGCCAAGTCTGGGAAGGGTTTTATAACCAAGATGACCACAATGTCATTATGGCTTCACCACAAAGTGGTGAAGACATATTGTGTTCCCTCATGTTTCTTCTTCTTCTCCTCCTCCTGCCATTTCTTTAAAGGGATTCAACTCAGCCGTTTTTCAGCCAAATGACCTGAAATTTGGCATGAACGTAGAATGGGCCAATACCCCGACGGGTTTTTTTTTCATTTTTTTGAAAAGTTGTTTTATTTGGGTTTTTTGGCCATTTTCAGGCAAAAAATATACATTTTGGGATCTGGAGCCCTGGTACTAAAACCAAATGACCTGAAATTTGGTATGGGGATATATGTCTGCAAAACCTAATTCAGGCTTTCAACATACACCACTTTAAAATTGTGAAAAATAGGGCTTTTTGGCTATTTTTGGACCAAAAATGTACATTTTTGGCTCCTGTGCCCTAATATTAAATCCGAATGACCTGAAATTCGGTATGGGGATACCTTAGACACGTGTCCAAAGAATGTCATTCACGCTTTTGACATACACCACTTTAAAATTATGTAAAATAGGGCTTTTTGGCTATTTCTGGCATTGGAAGATTCCATTGCTGCATGGGGGTATAGACTATTGGCAGCCATCGTGGGATAGATCCATTTTCGGTATGGGGGATGTGGTGAAGCCATCTGCTGCATTTGCTCCCAAGCAAATGTCGGCCTTTCTAGTTCAAACTTGTTTTTCAAGATCATCAGTTTCTGTCAGATCTTTGTGTAAAGGGTAATCACGGCTAGTGATGCATACCTAAACCCAATTTTAGGTTCAGGTCCGGATTCAAGTCCAGAGGTTTAGGTTCAGTTCCGGACTTGTAAGTCCGGACCTAAACCCATGGCATATACAAAATTGCATGTTGCCAACCTTGCAATGTTGTTTGGGCAAAACTTTGGCCACATAACATGGAGGCCGGTACTTGACGATGCCCGATGGCAATGTTTTCTTCACTTTGCAGGAAAGATTTTACAATCTATGGAAGGTTTTAGGTGGTTTGGAAAGAAAAGGGGTATGTGAAATGGTCTTTTATGGTAATAAGTCCGGACTCGGTTCTTGACTTTTAGGTTTTTTTGGACTTGAACCTAAACATTCTTACAAGTCCAGATCCAAGTCCAGTGAACCGGTACGCATCACTAATCACGGCATTGGAGCACCATGTACAATAGAAACATGTGGAAACTTTCACCTTCTTGCAGAACAAACAGTTATTGCTGTATGCTGTTCACGCCAAAGGCCTGACATACGTGTGGAAATTCTGTTTTAAATACAACTACTGTAACACAGCCTAAAACTTTTTGTAGAACTTTTTTAGAAAAATGTTTAAAAGTGGGCTGATTTGCTATAATGATAATTTGAAAGTAAAAAAAAAAATGTTTAAATTTCTATGCAATTAAGTTTGTACGAATCTATTTTAGGTTCTGGAGCTGGGAACAATTCCACCTTTGCTGTGTGTAGCAGACATGTCGAACACAATACCTGATGAGAAGGTACAATAACTACATCACATTTACTGCTTATTATATATAACGTTTTGTATATGGATCCTATACTATTGCAGCATATTCTAGGTTACTTTGATCTCACCAGTAAAGTATGGAAGTGATTTTCTATCACAGTGAACTCAAAAATTGTGATAATAATGTGGATGTGGAAAAAATGCAGCTCAATTTCCTCAAATTCAAGTAAAAATAGAATGGGCTTTATGTCATGTCACAATCTAATGTATAATAGCAGAGGCAGAGACTTAATAGGTGCTAGTGTTGCCCTATATCCAGATGCATCTACAATAATTATTGTAATACTTATCAAGGTTTTTAGTTAGGCTTGAAATACTTTTTTCTGCATACTTGCACTCAGTGCACTAGCTTTAAAAATTACCTGCACCAGACAAATTTTACCTGAACCACTCAGACTTTGAGAAGTATGGATCATACTGTAACTGTTCAGAAACCATTGCCACTATTTATATTTCAGTCCATACCATGGTATGGATGAAATATATTGTGTTCCCTCATGTTTCTTCTCCTTCTCCTCCTTCTCCTGCCAAACAGTCAAAGGGATTCAACTCCGCCATCATTCAGCCAAATGACTTGAAATTTGGCATGGAGGTAGAGTGGGCCAATACCCCCAGGCGTTTTTTCATTTTTTAGATAAATGCCTTTGAAAAATTTTTATGAAGGTTTTTTGGGGCATTTTTTGCCAAAAAATGGATTTTTGGATCCTGAGCCCTGGTTTTACAACCAAATGATCTGAAATTCGGTACAAGGGTACCTTGAACATGTGTCTACAGAATAGCAGTCATATATTTGGCATACACCACTTCCAAATGACTCATTTGGGGGACTTAAATGGCTATTTTCAGCAAAAAAAGGGCCAAAAGTGCTATACCCGTTCCATGTTCTATCTAAAGAATGGCCTGTTCCATCTGCCGTTAGCCATGGAACATGTGTTCCATTGCGGGTTACCTGGGGTCACATTGCACGTAAGTCGTGCGTAATGACCCATACATTCAATTTTATGTGCCTAAGACCTTCAAAATGTATCAAATTTCATCATTGTTAGTATTTGCATACCTGTAATAAGATTAGTAAAGCTTTCGAGATTCAATGTGCTTGTTCTTGCATCTTTGTTCTCAATTACATAGCTACTATATAATTCATTGATTTGAGAATCTTTGCCAGTTTTACACTGGGGTAAGTTTGGAATAATCCACTTTTGCGTGGGAGGGAGATGGACTGAAATATGCTGTATTTGCTCCCAAGCAAATGTCGGCCTCTCTATTTGTTTTATACTTCATATTAGGTGGTAACAGTCAATGCTGCAATTTAAAATCAACATACACCTACATATACATGATTGTACATATACATATACATGGACATGGGCAGGTCAGGTACAGGTACAGAAATGCCTACACATTCCAAATTTTACCTGCCCTAAGGTAAAATGACTTAAGGTACATCATGTACACTAACTGTAGTTGTATACCCAGCATTTTGAATCCTGCTTGTAAATGACTTGTATGTTGTATGACTAAGCCCTTCTGGTTTAGTTTGATTGCAGATGTCAGTGTTGAGATACTCTACCCAAACCATATGCCATTACTGGGGTTAGTGTGAGATTGCCCAGTCTTGACAGTTGATGTATGTGTTCACAGGTTGTCATGACAGCAGTGTCCTACCTTTGTGCACGTATCATAAACTTGAGTCAGAAAGTTCGTGCTGTCCGTACAATTCAAGCTGCATGGCGCAAATACCACCCAAAGGTATGTGTTATGACTGGTATTTCTCATCACACAATAAAGATTATCAATAATGAAAATTTAGCAACCAGCAGTTTTCAAAATAAACTTCATATGTCGGTAGAGCCTATACATTCTGTACATGTATTTGTCAAATTCTACCATATATGAGAAATTATACCTTGCTCTCTACATTTTCTCCAAGTCCTTCTTTCTAACTTTTGTGAGGTAAAGCAAGATACCTGTCATTTAAAAACTGTTTACGAGATACAAGGGCCATCAACATGTGAAGTTGCAGAGGCAATACTGTAAAGCGGCTAAGGAACAATGTCTTTTTAAAAACAAGTTTACTCAAGCTGATGTTTTTTATCATTCAAATTGATGATATCCTCTCTTTACAATGATTATCTGCATCCAGCCTGCTGTCAGGGAATGGACAGAAAGTGTAAAAAGGGCCACCATACGACTACAGGCTGCTGTCCGTGGGACACTTGTTCGCAGATCGCTCCAAAGACAGCACAAATCAGCCACCACCATCCAGACTGCTGTTAGAGGATGGACAGCAAGGCAGCACTACTTGAAACAGCACAAGGGAGCTATCATCCTGCAGCAGCACGTCAGAGCTCATCTTGCACGTAAGCAGGCCCAGGCAAGATATCAGCATGTACGCAGGGCCACCATACGTCTACAGGCTGCTGTCCGTGGTATGCACATCCGACGAAGGCAAAAGCAGATGCAGATGGCTGCTACTAGAATCCAAGCCTGTTGGAGGGGGCATCAGCAGTCAGTCAAATACAAGGCTATCAAATTAGCTGCAACCATAATCCAGCAGCACTTCAAGTCCTTCAAGGTGATGCAAGAGAAGCAGCACATGTACAGGTCTTTGAGATCAGCAACAATACGTCTACAGGCTGCGGTTCGTGGGATGCTTCTCCGCAAGTTGCTCCAAAGACAGCACAAATCAGCCACTACAATCCAGACTGCTGTTAGAGGATGGACAGCAAGGCAGCAGTACTTGAAACAGCGCCAGGCAGCTATCATGCTGCAAGATCATGTCAGAGCTCATCTTGCACGTAAACATGCCCAGGCAAGATATCAGCATGTACGCAGGGCCACCATACGTCTACAGGCTGCTGTCCGTGGGACACTTGTTCGCAGATCACTCCAAAGACAGCACAAATCAGCCACCACCATCCAGACTGCTGTTAGAGGATGGACAGCAAGGCAGCAGTTCTTGAAACAGCGCCAGGCAGCTATCATCCTGCAGCAGCACGTCAGAGCTCATCTTGCACGTAAGCAGGCCCAGGCAAGATATCAGCATGTACGCAGGGCCACCATACGTCTACAGGCTGCTGTCCGTGGGACACTTGTTCGCAGATCACTCCAAAGACAGCACAAATCAGCCACCACCATCCAGACTGCTGTTAGAGGATGGACAGCAAGGCAGCAGTACTTGAAACAGCGCCAGGCAGCTATCATGCTGCAAGATCATGTCAGAGCGCATCTTGCACGTAAACATGCCCAGGCAAGGTATCAGCATGTACGCAGGGCCACCATACGTCTACAGGCTGCTGTCCGTGGTACGCACGTCCGACGAAGGCAAAAGCAGATGCAGATTGCCACTACTAGAATCCAAGCCTGTTGGAGGGGGCATCAGCAGTCAGTCAAATACAAGGCTATCAAATTAGCTGCAACCATAATCCAGCAGCACTTCAAATCCTTCAAGGTGATGCAAGAAAAGCAGCACAAGTACAGGTCTTTGAGATCAGCGACCAAACAGCTACAAGCTGCAGTACGTGGGATGCTTGTTCGCAAGATGCTCCAAAGACAGCACAAATCAGCCACCATTATCCAGACTGCTGTCAGAGGATGGACAGCAAGGCAGCAGTACTTGAAACAGCGCCAGGCAGCTATCATCTTACAGCAGCATGTCAGAGCTCATCTTGCACGTAAGCATGCCCAGGCAAGATATCAGCATGTACGCAGGGCCACCATACAACTACAGGCTGGAATCAGAGGTTTCCTCGCTAGACAGCAACTTATCAAATGGACCCATGCTTCCACAGTCATCCAGGCTTCATTCAGGTGAGGATATTTTGAATGGATAAAAGCAACTATTCAATATTTCGATTTTCAATTCATTATTTGGTCCTGTGTTGGTTAGTTAATAATTATACCTTTACCAAAGGGGTAAGGGTTTCCAAAAGGGGTTTCAACAGTCTTTTTATCCCACATGATGGTAAAATACAATAATTGCGCATGCCAACTTTTTCATTTACAGGTTTTTGTATGATGGCAGAGTAAAGAAAGTAGAAAGTTTTTTTTTCAATGTCAGCCCTTTGAAGAAGAGACATTATGCAGGGCTCAAAATTAATTTTTGGGAATAGGTGGACTGTCGCACTCAACTTAAAAAATTGGGTGCACCGTATAAAAAAATTTAAAAAGTATTATGTCAACAAAAACTAATTACGTTTCATTTCTAAAGAAAAGTAGTACAAGAATCATGAATGATTTTTTTTCTGACACTTAGATGTATTCTGCATGTATACTACTATACATCTTGACATACATATATCTACCAAAATATTTGGGTTCACTGGTGCACCCACAGGAAAAGAATTGGGTGCACAACTCCAAATTTGGGTGCACTAAGGTGCACATGCACCCAGTATTTTGAGCCCTGTTATATCAAAAAGCAGGTAATGTGGGATATTAACTGAAAGGCATCATTGTTTAGGATGACAGTAAAGAAGATGAACTTTATTTACAGTTTGATACTTAGTACATGTAACTAATATTTACATGATTCAGGACTGCCAAGTGTATGCCTACCCAGCCTATGTGCTCAGGTCAGGATTTAAACTTTAAATATCTTATTTTATTGTTGTCCCCAGATGTTTCCTGCAGAGAAGACATTACCTCAGCACGAGGGCAGCAGTGTGTCGTCTGCAGGCCGGCTTTAGAGGATGGACCGCTCGAAGGACTTTTCAACAGGTCAAGTTACAACATCGGGCTGCTGTTGTCATTCAGAGCACTTACAGGGGCTTTGCAGCACGTAGGTTTTTACAGGTAAGGAAACAACAACATTATGTCTAATGTGCAGCACACATCTGTTATTTCCCAGTGTGATATGATGCTCCAATTGTAATGGTTGTTGAATTTTGTTGTTGACAGTAGTTGATTTTTTGGTGAATCACAGATAAAATTATACCGGGGTTGCAATTTTATTGAAACCAGTTCATTCACAATTTAATTCAATCATGTTTAACATCACTATTCATAATGATGACTATTCATAAATCATGTAATTGTCAAAGACATTTTACAAATATCTAATTAAACATTTTATGGAAGTGTGAGGTCCCCAAAGTCTTCTGTGTTAAAATTTACAGTATTTTGGCAGTCCTTACCAGAACCAATTTTGAAACTCATTCATGTATTATTATATTCATATTCCCTTCATGCAGCAATGGAGAGCTGAGCAACAGAGACGACTTCTACACTTCAGCACAGCTGCCTACTATCACCTGGCAGCAATGAGGCTACAGCGGGCTTACCGACGGTATCTGGTCTGGCAGAAAGCAAAACAGCAGCTTAAAGCTCTGATTATCATACAGGTATGTTAAAATCAATGTTTTAGCTGCCAAATGCATAATATTATGTTAATGAGAAACTGGGCACATGGAATCAAACCAAAATGGCAGGGTTTAGTTTTACCACAGTCTACAGATGTATCCATTGTTCATTGCATGCATGTTAATCTTAATGTTTACGCATACCGTAATCTTGTTCTTTCAGGCATCTATAAGGGCTTGGCTTCAGCGGAAGCATTTTCTGCAGCTTCGAAGGGTTGTCTGTAAGCTGCAGGCAGCAGTGCGCTGCCATCAGAAGCAGCGTCTGACTGCAGCAGTGGTTTTGCAGTCATATGTCAGGATGTACCTGGCTAAGAAACGTGCGATCCGAAGGAGGAAAGCAGTGATTGCCTTGCAGGTACAATATACATGTACATGAGCTGCTGACAGTTGTTACATACAGGGGGTCCAGGGTTCTAGCTAGGATTTAATTTTAGCGTAGTGGTACTGGCCACATGTCAAGGGAGCAAAGCGACCGAGAGGGGGGATGGGGCGGAGCTTTTAAAAATTGAGCTAAAAAAGGGGCCATTTGAGGGATACCCAAAGGGAAAAAATGTTATTTCTAAGGTATGTACAATGTATCCTTGATTGGTATTTATTTAATTTTAATGGTAATTTTTCACATTTGATCTGGCATTCTTGAACAAAGAAATACAGTCAAAATGCCCCTATGCTGTATTGAAAATATAGCGTAGGGGGTCAAAATTATAGCGTAGGGGGGAAATTTAGTGTAGGGGAGGGGGTGAAAATTATAGTGTAGGGGGCCCTACGCTACTTCACGCTAGCTAAAACCCTGGGGTCAATCAGTCAAATCTTCACTTACGCGTAACTTTCTTACTTCAACTTTGTTAATTTATGTAACAAAAACAGACTTGCCAATTTCAGTTCCCACCATCCAGTGAGGAAAATGCCAGTTTGTTTTTTTAAGTTTCTCACTTTTTTTCACTATATTCTCTTTATCAGGCAACATGGCGAGGTTACCATACAAGGAAGAACATAAAGAACAAGCGCATCAGAATTGCTCATCAAAAAATCATGGCAGCTAAGAGAGCAGCTACAGAGGATAAGAAGTTATGCAACATGACTGCAACTGCCCTGAATCTTCTCCTGAAGTATAAACATCTGTCCACCATACTTGATGCCCTCAGGAGCTTGGGTAAGTCTATTCAGAAATGACAAAATGGAAAATAATACACCGGGTATGAAAAACATGTATTACATATTCAAGCACACTGCAGTTTTGGGTGATAAATGGGTGTTTAACATAATTAACAAAGTTAACGTGAACTAATTAAACAAAAGCACTTTCTAGCCTTTTACTACTTAAACCTACTCATCTGATATTTTGTGGAAAGGTTCTGTGTCACCCAATGGACCATAAAACTCTCAGTGAGACCCTTCATGCTTCATTGAAAATGAAAAAATTTCGAAATAAATCTCGAAATTTTCTTTTAAACTTCCAAATTTATTTTTAAAATCTAAAGATTTTTTTTAAATCTTGAGATTTTTTTATAGCTACAAAATTAATGTACTAGAAAAATATCGAGATTTTCAGTAGCCTAGTGCTGTTGTCTTTGCTATTTTCACCAAAATGGTTGAAAATGTTGGTTTTGTATTTATCATCTTTTTACTTTATTGTCATTTGCTAAGTCTTTTTTTAAAATCACTTTGATCCTCCAATAAGAACTGCTGTGAAGGTTTTACATAATCTCAGCTGCATTTTGAAATTATAGCAACTTTCTCCCCACTACAGAGGTGGTGACACGGTTATCCTCTGTCTGCTGTGACCGGTTAGTGCAGGGAGGAGCCGTGCAGGTCATCTACACTTTGATTCAGAGCTGTAACCGCAGTTTGCCTTGCCAGGAAATTATCAAATATTCCATCAGCATCCTGCTAAACCTTGCTAAGGTGGGTCAGTCTGAAGCTTTATGATGATGGGTACTGATTCAAGTTGTGCACACAGTCATCTAGCCTGGGTGCCATCCCCAGTAGTATTCGCCCGCTCTATAATGTCGCTAGCTACCACGGGGTCTGGACTTGATGACATATGTAGTGTCTGGAGTCTGAATATTCGTTCAGATTTTGAACGAGCGCGCTGATTGGTCCTACTCGTCTAAGCCCTTTTTTGAGTGTGCACATATTAGGTAAGGGCCGTTCGGACGTCTGAACGGCGATGTTAGCGTCCGTTTAAACGTCCAAACGGCTACGTTAAGATAGATCCTTATTCTTATCATATTATCATCAACATGTCCAATGCGAAACCGAATGGTAAAGCGTGCTTGATATAGCCTAGACGGCATATCATCGCAAGGGCCCCTTAAAAATAGAACGCACGGAGAAAAGGAACACTCACGCGAAAATCTGTGTTCACAAAACAACAAACATCACATAAATAATGGCGGCGCGCCATTGGCCATCGGCCCAGAGGCTCAGCCAATCAAATGAAAACCCGCTGCTGGGACTAGCTCATTACGTGACGTCATCACCAGACATTTCATATGTCATCAAGTCCAGACCCAGTGGTAGCTAGCGGGCAAATACTACTTGGGATGGCACCCAGGCTACACAGTCATCAGCATTGTGATATGTTCTAGCTGGCTCTTTTCTTTCATGTACAAAATACTTGTCTGGTAATTGTTATAATGTGTTTTACATTGTGTACAACAGCATGTTACATGTACATTGTACATTTAGGTCTGCATGTGACCAGCCTCTGTCTAATCTTGAAAATAGTGTACTTCAAAATTTCTAAAATACTTTTCTAAGATGACTGCTGACAATACCCCGTAGATTGCATAAGTTTCTTACCTTGGAAAATGAGCCAGTTGTTTTTGCATGACTAGAACCCAGACACTGTAGCTGCTGCTGTGGTGCAGGAGGGAGGAGTGGAGACACTGGTCAGCCTCATGGCTATCTACAGGGAGAAGGATGATGTCATCTTTGGACAAACATGTTTACTTCTGACATTGTTCTGTAACAATGCAGCCTACCAAAAGGTCTGGCCATTCTTCTTTTTTAATAAAATATGACATACATGTACCAATATACTCGGCCTTCTTATATGCCTTTAGTCATTAACAATAGGAACATCTACAATGTAGGGCTATAAGGCCACATAAAATTGATTTCTTGGTTCTCTGATTTGCTGCTTATTTTTTTTTAATTAGGCCACGCCGAGTTAATTTTATGGATGACATCCCCTGAAGATCCCCAAACTAGTGCGCGCGGGCGAATAAAAAAAATTCCGGCCAAAAATAAAATGCTACTAAACCATAGGAATACTAAGCTGATATTGTGAATTTGTGGCAGTATATAGCGACGTTTACGACAAGCCGGCACATGCTGGTGTTTTGCGGAATTTATGAATCTGCACTGTACCTATGTGCTGAGTTCTTGAGTCGTGGACCTTCGGTAGCCTGGGTGCTTTCCTTCAGAGTTACCACCTCCGTATTGTCGCTAACTACCATGGACTACCCAGGCCTATATAGAGCTAGGCCAGAGCCTTGGAGGACGTGATCTTTTTTTTTTTTGAGAACAGGCGAAAATCAATGCGCGCGTGGATGTCATCCATAAAATCAAATCTGTATGGCCATAGAAAGTATAAAGATGTATGTACTTTAGGATATAAAGGAACTATTTTTAAAGTATTTATATTTTGGCACCAGCACATAAAAGTATTAAGTAGAGTTTATTAACATATCAAAAGTTGAAAATTCAATGTCTGAAAGATTAAGCATATGTTGACTTTGTCGCTTTGTTTCCTTACTTAGAAATGGTATCAAAAATTTATACATTGACTGTGACTTTATTTTGAATGAAAGTGAGAAGAACTACATGTAGGTTTAAGAAACTACATTTGTTAACTACATGTAAGTGGAACAGAAGGATCCTTATGCACTGGAGGATGGAGGGAATGCAGCAGTTATACACAAAAATTGATACATTTCTCGTTGTCAATCGATACATTTTCAGTGTTCAGCTCAAGTAGTCCTCCAAGTATGGTGGAAATAAGTAACCCCAGTCATGGCAGAGACATGATTTTGGAGTTGGCGATTAGAACAAGGTCTGCATTCCTCAAACTCTTGCAATTTCAGTCCTGTATATGAAAAATTATTATTATGTTTAATCTTTGGTGTTACAGGAAGTTTTGAACTTACCATCGGTGACTCAGAAGCTGCAGAGTTTGTACCGCCTGGTAAAGAGGAAGACTTCCATGAGCAGAAGCAAACAGAGAACAGGAAGTCAGGAGGACAGAAGAAAGAGTCCGACTCCCCTGGTCCAGATGGTCCACCAGATCAAGCCAGCTTGGATCCTAGGGAAAGACAACATGCTTGATGTTCCTGAACCACTGCAGGCTATTCAGCTTGTATTAGAGACATTAGGTCTGCAAGGGTTCATAGTGTAGTTTTTCATACAGGTACATGTAATGTACCGTTAGGGACTGTAATCATATAACTTTGGAGGGTAGATTTTCATGTAGTTTCTTAAACTTTTTATAAGACTAGTAATCATATCAAGGTTTCCAAACACAATTTGTAGTGTGTTCAATGGAAACACATTTCAGATGCACTTGTGAATGTAAAAGAACTACGTAACCAGCTGTTTGAGTGTTTCTTTACTGTCAGTGTGATTACTGGTAATCTATGTTTGGTTTGTTTGTCAACATGGGATCCACCCCATCCCCAATCACTGGTGAATTTTGTTTGCTTGAGCCTTGGTTTTTTCATGAAGTACTTAGACCAGCCTGCTGGCTGCTTTTCACTAAGATCATGTTTTAATTTTTAATTTTAGGTTTTATTTTTACTATGTAAATACATTGATTGTGTAAAAACTCTTTGCCCATTATGAGAAGAGGGTTGGTACCAGAGTACCCCCTGAAAAAGTCTGCTTCAGACCATACATACAGTGCTGAAGACATTAGGGAAGAAATTACAGTCCATATAGATTTTTCAAACATACCGATGGTACAAAATGTAGTTCTTCACAGGTTATATGTTTGTCTTTTGTACATTGATGGCATCTTTATATCCATTTCCCTGTAGAGTGGTAGCCTTGTGCTGCTTGTATTGCTGTGATAAGAATCTCTCCTGATGGAGGTTGTACCACTTTGTCATCCTTTATTGACATACAACAAAAGTAAGGATTTTGTACAGGGAAAAATCAACTTTTTGGTACACATGTAAGTTCATGTATTCACATTGTTTCCCATATTAGTCTACACTTGTAACAAATGTAACACCAAACTCAGAATTGATTGTGTTAGATGTTACTCTGACCTGATTTGATACAAGAACACACATTAGGTCACAATATAGTGTCACTACTGCTGTTGTACATAATATACTATATTCCTCTTCCATTAAGACAGTAGCTGTAGTTCTTCCTTGTTTTGTTTGTGATTCTGAAAAAAGTTTTCTGCTGGTGTTTGAAATACATGGACCTTGTATCCATAAATCAACTTAATAAAGTTGATGTAAAAAACCTGCTGTCAAAATGTTGGTGTCTGTGATTTATTTAAAAACAGACTTAAGATCAGAAGCCTGGTTATTTTATAGAAGACCATAATATTATATACATTGTATGTAATGTATACAGCACATTTCACCCCATTTCCAAGCTCACCCTATCCAAAAGTGTTATGGACCAGTCTGAAAACATTCCTACAAAAATTGACATCACCCACTTAAACCTTGGCAACAGGCACAACATTCAAAATGCCTAGATTTGGAATAAACTATCTGTAGAAATACAAATGTTAGGACACAAATTGAATAAAAAAACACAGCGTAACAAGTCTTAGTCATAAAAATAACAAAACAGCAGTAGTCACCCTGTTCTGATTCTTTCATCTCATCTTCTGTTATTATATTTTGCGACACTGTCGTCACACTTTCATAATACAGTAAGCAGAATTTCTTGTTTTTTTTAGTAACAGTCCAAAATCACATAACTTAGGGGGGTTACAGCGCGTCTGTAAAATCTGTGGTGTAAAAATAGAGTACAGAGATTCTTTTGTACTCTAGACCAAATTGATTATTAAAAAAGTAAAGAATGCACATGTTCATTTCTCTAGAACAATGTACCGAAGACGACATGGGATCTCTGACCTCTAGTTGAAATTAAATTTTAGACCGGGCTGCCAGGGTGATTATGAGAAGGCTTAGAAAGGCCAGTGGAATATGTAATGAGGCTCAGACTGAGAAACACATAACTTTTTTTGTTTTCTTTATTCTTGCCTTATCTCACCTTTGTACAGTAAAAAGTGCATCTCACATACAACTGATATCAAACTTTTTTCTATGGTGAAACACAGGCCTGGAAAAACTAGTTTTGCTACTGTAACTGTATTTTTTCAATTGAATTCTATACCTGTGTTTCAAAATTCAGGCTTCATTTTGATTTTACATTAAATTTGAGATCTTCAGAGAATACAATGTATGAAACTTACATGTACTTAAAGATGGTTATTTACAGATAGTTTGAAACAACACCGAATCATGAAACAATAGAGAAATAATGGCACATGCTTAACAGAATATGCAAAATCATATATATATGTACCATTCATTAAAAAAAGATAAAACATTAAAGGCACTTATTGTGGAATTTGGTCAGCCAAGCTAACAATATTCTGAATCTACATATTTTCATTCAGTTTGACATTTGTAACTGATTTTCAATACATTTACATCATTTCTCATATGTAAACCACATGAAAGCAAGCTGCACATATTAAAATGACAGCCTACCAAAAAATCACCAGCCAAACAGGTCATTGCCACATTTGTCCAGTCACAGATATGCAAATGAGCATTGCACAAGTAAACAAATGAGTAATGCTAAAAAGCAGTTACTCAGGCGTATCTTATAACCTGGATTTCTATCCTTCATCGAAACAAATGAGTAGTTGTCAGCTACACGCTGGAAAGCACATTCTGCCAGTGCAAAACATCCTGAAATTATAGCTGCATAATTGACTTAATATGCTCATTTCCATACTTGTGACTTCAAACAAATGCAATAGAATACCAAACAATATGGCTGACATTCAGAAGCGGAGTACACATATCTAAAGATGTTTTCACAATACAACATTGCATTTATACACTGTGAATATTGTTGTGCAATGTACATGTACATGAAATAATTATTATGTCTACTTGGGGGTTGTGGATGCAGGGTTGTGGTTGCTTGTGATGGACAAAAACTGTGGCTATTTTGTCATTCTGATAGATAGACACAATTAGTGTCTGATATGGAAGAAGCAAAAATTCTATAACCATGTCATGCCAAGAGAAAAAACTGCAAACAGACAGCTATTGAGTCAAGTCATAAGTGCAGACAGAACATTCTCCTTATAACATTAGTTTCAAATTAGTATACTGCCAACATTTTATGTTATATATTGCTCCCTGCTGCATTTTGTTAGAAAGAACAATACATTACCTTAAGGAAACATAACAAGCATGCAGATTTACCTAGCACTGCTTTCCATGCATACATGTAAGTTATGGTACAAGGTCATAACACAACGTTGTTAATTGATATCTCTCTAACTGAAAAGGTGACCAGTAATCATCATCCTGTACTCTTCTGGATAACATATACATTGTTACACATGTGAAATATATAAAATGCTAAATAAAAGTGGAATCCCTTGAGGGGTTCTGCATCTTTTGAATCTGTGACCTGGCCTCAAACACTTGGCGAATGAGAAGGGACTTCTCTTCTTCTAGTTTCCTAATCTTTTCTGTTTTGTCACTCAGTTCCTGAGCAAAAAAAAAAACAGTTATTACAGAAAACATGCATCATGACAGAACTTTCCTCAGTAAAGTCATCATTGCCTACCTTCCCTCAGAAACCTAAAGCAGGTCTGTTATATTTACCTGAATATGTCCACACTTGTCTGAAGTCTTCACAGTTGGACTGACCACCCTGTCACTGTGAGAGGTCAAAAGGTCCATGTTCACGGACAGGCCACCCTGTGATACAAACAAACACTTGTTTCTTCCCTCACATTTGTACATAACATGTGAAGCACCCGAAGAGACAATGGATCTATTAGGTAGGTCAACTATTCTTGTCATGTCAACTTCAGATCAGAGATGCCTTAACGTAAGGCCATGTTGATTTGACTAATGGATGACATCCGCGCGTGCATGAATTTTGGGCCGTTTAAAAAAAAAACATTTTCAACCATACTGTAAATAGTACGAAACACTTGCAAAATGAGCAAATATATACAAATAGTTACAAAACAAAATACTAATATCTGAAAACAATACCACTGTCGTAGAATGCCAAAATGAAACGAAAATTTTTAAAAGACGAAAATGTAAAGAAATGAATTTGAAGTCTTAGAGTAGAGTCAATTCCGCGTCACCGAGTGGGTTGTTATTGTCATTATTTAGAAATGTTTTGAATTCTTTGTAATTGTTTGTCTAAGAAATTTCATAATTTGGAAATATTTTGAACATCTTGTCAATATTCTAAATAATTCCCTGGTTTTCTAAAACGTTTGAAATATTCCTGATGTGGATTATGACATTTCCAATAGTTTCTAAATATTTCTAACAGCACTCTACCATTTTTTACCATTATTTCGAATTATTTCTAACATTTTGTAAATAGGTCAGTGGGATGGGAAGGAAGTAATTCACACATCCCTGTGGGGTACAGGGTAGACTGCCTGGGTGTCAGGCATTGATGCCTTACAACAAAAGAGCCACCAGTGTCCAGCAGTGAAATCTAAAAATATACAGAGGAAGACAGAAGAGTAGGATTAGCACCTACTTTTATGGGGGCAATTACCCACATCTACAATTTGGTTATTTGTTTGAAATAGTTCTAAATATTTCGAATTGTGAAAGAAACACATGGGTAGTTCAGATTTATTCTAAAAAAAGAGATCTTTGTACAGTCACATTCAAAATGTTTCAGAAATATATAAATGAATTCAAATATGTTCAAATTTTCATTTTCAAATTTTTGAAAAATTTAGAACTTTTGTTACTGGGGTATTCTTTTCTTCTAATTAATTCAAACGTATTAGAAACATGGAGAAAAAACCCACTCGGTGACGCGGAATGGACTCTAGATTATTCGCCATACCATACTTTGTGACATTTGTTCAACCTTCATGACCACATGAGATTTCATTATGAAAGCAACTTTTTTTTTTGCAAAACTTTTTTATTCGAACGCTTGCATCAGTTTTTGGGTTCTCAGAGGATGTCATCCATATAATCAAATCAACATGGCCAAATGCAAATTACATCATGCAAGATTTATACAAATTCTATGTATAATGTATTTTGGGGCAGTTGAAGAAATTTGTCAGGGTATTGCTGTATTTGATGTGAAAAGTGCTGAGAGACAAACTTTAAAATAAATTTAAGTTTTTTTCCAAGCTGAAATGAAAATACAAAAGTAGCTGGTCTAAAAAAGGCAAATAGGAGCAGGGTTAAGTCCTCTGGACCTGAGTTTTCTGTACCAATACCCACTCCTACATGTAGGTCACTAACTCTGTAATGATTCTAAGGTATGTAATTCTGATGGTGGTTCAGTACCTTATCTCCTGTGTCCTGTAGGAGGGTGTTGAGATGATGGTTGACCTCCTGCACCTGTGCTGAAAGTCTGTTGATACAAACTTGACTGGCATCCAGCAGCTGACGATACAGGACAGAAACAAAACTCATCCAATCTCATCATAACAATGTGACTGTACAGTCATGACTGTAGATAACCTATTGGGCTTCAAGTGAAGGCATACACATACAAAAGTACTAGTAACATACATAAACAAGGGCTTAAAATACTGGGTGCATGTGCACTCTTTATTTTAGACTTTGGTGAACACTAATGATCCTACTTACTAATATTCAATACAGTATTTTGAGTAAAAATTGCATGAGGCCACTTATACTTTCAATGTCCATGTTGGAAAACCGATTGTACAACATTTCATCACTCAGGTGTCAGATCATGGAACTAGAAAAGGTCAATCTGCTTAAAGGTTTGTCCCTTGCAGGGGTCCACGGAAAAAAAGGCTAGGGTCGACAGCAGTTTTTTACCTACGCCTAAGGGGTGTGTTGACAAACATAGAGCAAGTACAGCAGGATTTAGGGTGCAACTGCTACAGTCCCAGTGCAACTGTTCTTAACTGCTAGACTAGTCTTCAGTAAGCACAGCACCACAAACAAGTTCAGGCTATTCTCAGCTTCAAGGCACTTCACCTCCAAACATCTCCCAATTACAACATCATCAGCTATACCCATACACACAACACCTGACTCAGCACACAGGGAACTTTAAGCTAAAGCAACTGCTTGTAGTATAAAATGAGATCGCTCTCCTTTTCCTGCACAGTCCTCAAGTCAGAGATGCAAAAACTATAATACATCAGTGTGTGTGCCTTCATCCCTTTACCAGGGCTCAAAATACTGGGTGCATGTGTACCTTAGTGCACCCAAATTTGGAGCTGTGCACCCAATTTTTCTGTGGGTTCACCAGTGCACCCAAATGTAGGTTTACGTATATGTCCAGATGTTAAATTTAGAGCAGTACTAATATTCAGCATATTCTTAACATCAAAGTGTCAGAAAAATAGTAAAATCTTTCTTGTAGTACTTTTCTTAGAAACAAAACATACTTAGTTTTCGCTTACATTCTACTTATTTTATCTTATATGGTGCACCTACAGAAAATTTTGTGCACACAATTTTTTAGGTTGGGTGCACCAGTGCACCTACCCCGGTATTCCCAAAAATGAATTTCGGTAAAGTTGCAATCGCACAGAGATCGCACGTTGTAAGCACGTACAACTCACTTACCACTTGCGCAACGTACGAGGCACGCAACCGCTCACGGCCAGACTTGGCGTGCAGACCACACTCTTACACTTTGCGAGTGACGTGCGTCTAAGCCACTCCTTCCCCATGTTTTCAGAAAAAAACGTAGCAGACGTAGCCTCCCACAAAACGTACGGACAAAAAGCATGCACGGCGGGTTGTGACAGAAGCTTTACCTTACTACTAGGTGACTGTGCATCCAGGTACTTCTGCTTGTCCTGCACAGCGAGGATCTGGCTGTGGTACCAGTCGTGAGCTCGCTCCACCGTCTCCAGACCCTGCAGCAGGATGTCTTTCTCCTGCTCCAACTGCTTCATTCGCTTCAGCTGCAGGAAAAAAGCACAAGGGCAGAGTACAGTAAGCTTGGAGGCTACTGAGATAATATTCATCATCATCTTCGATACTGCTCATCCCTCTAAGAAGAGGATTATTAGCAGCTGCGCAGATTAGTGACTGTGTGCAAACAAAGGGTAGGGTAGGGATGGACGTAGACAAGTGCAAGGACAGGACAAGTGAAATCAATGGTGCTAGTGTTACACATATTTACATATGTACAAGGACAGGGAGGCAGCTCGATGCAGCGAAGCCCGTCCCAGCTCTGCTTTGAACTGGGAGATGGACTTCGCCTCCGCCACACTGGGCCCAAGTTCATTCCACTCCTTGATGGTGTCATGCAATGAAGCATAACATATACATGATGATTACTCTTGCTGCCACAAGACAACATGTATGTATTTCTCTAGCATACTGGTAGTTCTCAACAGGCTATTTCAGTATTTGAGCATAGGGACCCCCTACGCTGTGATTTGGACCCCCTACGCTGTGATTTAGCCCCCTCCACTGCCTTTCAACCAGTGTAGGGGTGTTTTTGGGGGGAAAGCCTGCATAAATTTAAAAAAAAAATGAAAATATAACTTCAGATTGAAGCCATGAGTATGGCAAAGGGAAAACATTATAAAATCTGCCCCTCAATAAGCCAGAAATAGTGTCTCATGAGAGTAATATTAAAAAGATAAGTAAACCATTAATTCTGATAATAATATTAATAAATAAGAAATCTGAGATTCCAAACCTCCGAGAAGTATAAAATGCATATGCTCACAAGGACAACCTCATTTTCATAACCTATGAGGCATGTGGCTAACTAGTGTCAAGGTACACATAACATAATACATGTAAGAGTCAGAAGTTTATCTTTTTTTCATCTGTAATTTTGAAATTGTTTCTGCTTCGCAAGTTGCAGGTGCGCTTTTTGAGCCCTGCAGTTACAGCTGAAGTTGACTAGGAAGTGTAGAATTATATAATACATGTACAATATTTTGTGCTTTACTTTCTTTCAATTGCTCATTCCATGAGACTAGGAACAGTAATGGTGTAGCCCCAGAACAGTGACGTGTGAGCGCTGGCTAGATCGTCCTTGCCAGCACGTCGGCAGAATGTAGTGCACCTGCGCGAAACCCGCAGTGAATTATACATAGCACTTCGGTAGAACGTCTCATATAACGTCGTATTCACGCATATAAGGTTAACATCTCGTCTGTAGTTTCTAAATGTTATGTTGGAAAATATATCCTCTGCAACAGGCAAAATTCCAATGCAACGTTGACCAAAAATCCCCCGAAAAGCGTGGAAATGTAGGGTTCTGCGCAGGCGCAGTACGTTCTGCCGACGTGTTGTCCTTGCCAGTCTTGATGTAACTTACTTGAAACTATAGAATTCCGTAAACTCACCACATTGTAGTCCAGTCCATTGGCCAGGGTGTGCCGCCTGAATTCCTTCCTCTTCTGTTTGGGTGAAAATCCAGGTGGACTTAATGAAGGTCCTAAGGACAAGAGAGGTCATGAGTTTGTAGCAAGACACATTAACTAAGGCCACAGCAAGTAATTTTTATGGATGACATCCGCGCGCGCATTAATTTTCGCCTGATTTTGGAAAAAAAAACAAGAAATTTTGTTGCCTTCTGACATTGGTCACCATGCCGGAAATGGGCAAAGATGTGAGTGCCATGCCGGAAGGTGGATGGCAGATAACTTATGAAAAGAGGAGACAAGAAAAGGCTCTGATTTAATATTTTGTTTCTTACTTTAAAAGTTTAATGCAGTGATATGTGATGCTGACTGTGTATATGTGATGTTCCGTTGTACAATGTTGTACAATGATTGAGTAAAAATTTTAAAATGTAGGAACCTTGTTTTTTTCGGCCCGCCCTGTTTTTTTTGCCCGCTCGCATTAGATCTGGAGTCTGCGGAGGATGTCATCCATAAAATTTACTTGCTGTGGCCTAAGTTGCAAATCTTGGAATCAAGGATGTCTGGATGGGTCCAAGTCCAGATCCAGAGGATCAGGTCTAGGTCTCAACCTGAGTACAGTATTATAACAGAAGTACTGTATCATATTTTGGAGAGCAATACAGGTCAAATTGTGTACTGGAATGATGTGGGTTCGAAATACTGGGTGCATGTGCACCTTAAGCCACACCAATTTAATTTCTTGGTTAACAGATTTTTCTAGAAAAATAATGGAGCGGGCGGGCGAAAAAAAAATAAAAATAAAAACAGGCCAAGGCATCGTATTATGGCCCAAAATGGTACGATAGGAGCCATGAAGTCAACACACCAGGCTGGTTCAAAATTTAAACAATGAATTTTGAACTTTTAATGATACCATTGCATTGAAAGATGGAATAACTGTAACAACTAGGATGAAAAGGTCTGTTTTCAACTGTTCAGGGCAAAATATGAGCATTTTGCAGTTGATTCTGGATTTTTATTTTTATTTGCAAAGATGAAGCGGCGAATCCGTTAACCAAGAAATTAAATTGGTGTGGCCTTAGTGCACCCAAAATTGGAGCTGTGCACCAAATTTTTTTTCTGTGGGTGCACTGGTGCACCCAAATATTTTTGTAGGTATTTTTGTACATACACGTCATATATAACATTACAGTAATACTGGATATTCTTGGCACCATAGAGTCAGAAAATCTTTGTTGTAGTACTTAGTTATCTGTGTTTAACTGTTACCTGTGTTACCTGTGTCTAACTGTTACCTGTGTTATCTGTGTCTAACTGCTACCTGTGTTACCTGGGTCTAACTGTTACCTGTGTTACCTGTGTCTAACTGTTACCTGTGTTACCTGTGTCTAACTGTTACCTGTGTTATCTGTGTCTAACTGTTACCTGTGTTACCTGTGTCTGTTACCTGTGTTACCTGTGTCTAACTGTTACCTGTGTTTATCTGTGTCTAACTGTTACCTGTGTTACCTGTGTCTGTTACCTGTGTTATCTGTGTCTAACTGTTACCTGTGTTACCTGTGTCTAACTAGTTACCTGTGTCTAACTGTTACCTGTGTCTAACTGTTACCTGTGTTACCTGTGTCTAACTGTTACCTGTGTTACCTGTGTCTAACTGTTACCTGTGTTATCTGTGTCTAACTGTTACCTGTGTCTAACTGTTACCTGTGTTACCTGTGTCTAACTGTTACCTGTGTTACCTGTGTCTAACTGTTACCTGTGTCTAACTGTTACCTGTGTTACCTGTGTCTAACTGTTACCTGTGTTACCTGTGTCTAACTGTTACCTGTGTTATCTGTTGAGGAGCTGGAGGTGCCGTCTGCTGATCCCCTGCTGCTCCTGTCCATATCACCACTCAGGAACGCCAACGTTTCATTCTGCCACAGACGTAACTTATCCATGATCCTCCCCTTCTCTGACTTTGGCTTGTTGATTCGTGCTGCTTGTTTGGACGGGTTGGACTGTGTGGATAAGTCTGGCACAGACTGGAAGGCTCGCTGAGTTCGTCTGTGGCTCCTGGAATCCTGGATTCCTACCTTGTCTTGGCTGGAATGGGTTCCTGTCTTAACTCGGTCGGAATTCAGTAGTCCTAACTTGTCTTGGTTGGAATTCAGAATTGCTGTCTTGCCTGTGTTAGAATTATGAAGTGTTTTTTGTCTTGGTTGAGCAGAGCGGACGCTGACAAACTTCTGACAGGCTGAGGAGTTCTGGGGTGGGCACTGACCACTTGACCTTGTCCCTTGTCAGTGTTGTGGAATGGTTTACAGTTAGTGAACGTTAATTCTGCGAGTGGATACTTACAATCTGGTCCTGATAGGGCTATTCGAAGTCCCTTACAGAAAATGTCGAACGACAGCATTTTGTCGTGTGGAGCTACTTTTCGCAGACACTCCACCACTCCGCGGAGTTCAGTTCCGTCCCTGTCTCCAGTGACGCTCTATATCCCCGAGAGAGACAAGCCCACAGTTCCCATCATCCAGGATGTCCCACAGGGCACGTAGCGACGCCACAAACGCTTCTGGTAAATCGCCAGAACCCGAAGGCACAAACGGAGCGGAGAACAAAGGCATTTCAACATACGACCATATCGCGGTTAACTAACGGTTATTTAGTAACGACCAAGAGAAGTTACCCGACCTGTGACGACCCGACGCAGCCTTGTCGTCGTCAGTCTTTAGCTGAAGATCCAGGGACCCACAGAAAGTTCACCAGATCCCCAATGAACAGATTCAGTTGATCAGTGAACGTTAAACGCATAAATTAGTTTGTAGAAGATCTCATCTGGCGCCCGAGAAGTGCAGTGTCAACAGTCTACAGGGTCTATCTGCAAGACCTCCGTCCCGTATAAAGTTACTTTGTTACACTGGATGGGTGTACGACATCTAGCGGTAAAATGTTGTACTACACGTTCGCCAAGAAAGTTATTGTGTGTGTGTGTGTGTGTGTGTGTGTGCGTGTGTGTGTGTGTGTGTGTGTGTGTGTGTGTGTGTGTGTGTGTGTGTTGTTGTGTGTGTGTGTGTTTGTGTGTGTTTGTGTGTGTGTGTATGTGTGTCTGTGTCTGTGTGATAACTCGAGAAGGTTTGGGCGGATTCATTGTCTTTATATTTGTCTTCGTCAGAAGGACTATGAAATTGTCTCGCCGGATCAGTGTGGGTGACAGCGGATTTAGCGGAATAACTTTTGATTCTTGAAGGCATTATTCGACGTCAATGGCAGGCAGATTAACGTTACCGTTGTTGACGGGAAAGTCAAGTGCAAGTTTGAGCTTCGTGGGGGGTCCGTACGTCACTGCAGCGGATTTTTTTGTGTTTGGGGCTTGTGAGCAGAATAACTAGTATATTTAAATTTATGTCCTACCTGGGCCGCGATTACGTTCGATACGGGTGTTCCGGCCCGTGTGATAACTAGCGGTACGGCCCGGGGGTTCTTAACGCGTACAGCCCGGGCCTTCCAAATGTTCCATAGAACGATTCGAACGCGTTTTGCCCTAACCGCTTGCACCGCTTTCGAAAATTCGAATACAAAATTCGGACGTTGGAATTGATGTTGTTGCATTTGTTGGGTTTAGGGACACCAAATTTTCGCTCATTTCGCATTGAAAGGCGTGTTTTCTTGGGTTGGTATGACATAAATAAAATACAACATGGTGTATTCCGCATCGCCCTCGGTCCCAGCCCTCTCGCGGATCGGATCTCCCTCCGGCCTTCGGCCGTCGGGCGATCCGACGCGCGGTCGGGCTGGTACCTCGGGTGATACGGAATACACCGTGTTGTATTCTATATTTATATCATACCCGGGCCGCGATAACGTTCGATAACGTGTTCCAGACCGGGCCGTACTTTACGGTACGGCCCGGTCCGGAACCCGTTATCGAACGCTTCCATGGCTTCCATAAAACGATTCGAACGCCTTTCGCCCTAACCGCGTGTGCCCCTTTCGAAAATTCGAATACAGAATCCGGACGTTGGAATAGATGTTGTTGCATTTTAGGGTTTAGTGGCACCAACTTTTGGCTCATCTTGCATTGAAAGGCGTGTTTTCTAGGGTGGGTATGATATAAATAAAATACAACACGGTGTATTCCGCATCGCCCTCGGTCTCGGCCCTCCCGCGAGTCGGATCGCCCTCGGCCTTCGGTCTCGGGCGATCCGACTCGCGGTCGGGCCGATACCTCGGGCGATACGGAATACCCCGTGTTGTATTCTATATAGATGTTCATAATTTTTGGTATGCAAGCCACCATTGTAGAGGTCAAGGTCAAGTTCGAAAACGGGCCTCGTGGGGGGTCCCAATGTCGCTGCAGTGGACCTTTTGTGTTAGATATATAACGTTAATGATTTACCCCCACCAATCTCTGCATTGATTCAGATGCGAGACAGCTGTTCTCTCCCCATCTGGTATCAATTGCTTACAATGGAGGGGCTGTCCTATAAATACTGTGGGGGGAGGGAAAGTAGGATATGCCTCAGGCAGGTCATTCCCTAAATTGTAAGGCCAGACCAAGTAATTTTTATGGATGATGTCCACTAGAGACCTTGAATTTATTGCAAAGCGCCATAAAATACATGAAGGGAATGGCCGAAAAAACTGATTAATCTGCATAGAATTGGAGCATATTACTAACTGTGGAAATACAAAGGTTAGGACACAAATTGAATAAAAGAACATAGTGTAACTACAAACGCAAACAGCAATAAATCTCGAGCTCCCCATGTTCTGATTCTTTCCTTTCATCACACCTTCTCATAACATTTTGCGACACTGTCGTGATACTCTGATCATAATACAGAAGCAGAATTTTCGGTAACATTTTTTTCCAGTAACCGTCCAAAACGGTGACAGTGCATCTGTAAATCTGTGGCAAACCCTTTCGGGGTGTTCTTTAGAATGAAAAAAAAGGAAAAAAGGAGTACCGAGATTCTTTTGTACTCTAGACCAAATTGACTTCTAGTAATAAAACTGATGTTCGTTTATCTAGAACAATGTCCCTCTGACGAAGACATGAGATCTCCGACCTCTATATAGTTGGTACGTTGGTTATATGTCTTTATGAAACATCAAAATGATTAGATTTTGGACCCCCTAGCGGCTTGTTATGGTACTGTAGCAGAACGTCCGGTACGGTTTTGATATCTCACGATCTGGACATGCTAGGGTCAACAATTTTTAGGGTGGTAGGTAGCTCTTGTTCTCAGACTGTGACTTGCAATTGAGTCTGGGCTTCATAGCAGCTTGTTATATGGAACTGCAGGGCCGTTTGTTAAAAATATTAGGAGGAGGATAACTCAAGAACCTGTCGGCGGATCGTCGTGATTATCTTTATGTTGGTAGCTTCAGTAATGCTTGACATAATATATATCATTGATTTATTCAAACACACAATTCAAACACAATACTGTAAAAGCACAACAATACACAATACCATCACTTCGCAGCCATAGAGCGCTTAACAATTTATATAGTCCATGGGCCGAGACCGTTTTTTGTACTACCAAGACGGACCAGTGCTACCATAGATTTTTTTAATCTGCAATAACCAAAGTTTATTTTGATGTATGATAGCAAGTCTGTATGAGTAGCTTTCTTGGTGTAATCACGTGACCAAATGACGTCATCAAAATGGACCTCGTGCCTTGGGACTAAATCCAAAGGAGGGCCTGCACCAAAGGGCCGGGAAAAAATATCAAACATCAATAATTCTCGGCGAAAATTGGTTTGTAGACAAAACATGCCACAGTAATCACAACACAATAGATTTTTTGCCGATATTCTGCATTTTCTGCAAGTTATACGCCTTTAAACTCCGATTTTGAGGATAATTTTTTGTGTAAAAACTCAGTTTACTTCCAAAATCAGGCATTTTTCAGGCTACCTATGGGGCCTTGTGTAACAA